CAAAATAATATTTTTTTCACAAATATGTTGATTAATTGTCATGTTAATAAGATTTCATAATGAAATAGGCCTTATAAGTTCACAATTTTACTTCCAACCACGGACATATCAAGTTCCACGATACAACGAGGTCACGGGCTACCATGCAAAGAAATTAAAGACCACCCAGTTCTTTCACATCACTGATAGTTAATCTGCCGTGTCATTAATATGATTAACAGATTAAAGACTAGTAATATTAAGAACTGAGTTGTCCTTAGCTTCTGTTGCATGGCATATATATGAAGTACAAGAACTTCACATTTGGTAGGATTTATAAAAATCATGGTTGATGTACATAGTGATATAATAATCAACTGGGTAATGTGTGTGAACAGAGGGAAACAGTCAACTGTGTACCAAGTTAAACTGAATTAGTTGAAACAATTTTACATAAATATTATGCCATAAAAACAATTCCATTATGTCAACATATACTAGAATACCATGTTTAATATATACCATGAAACAACCAATACCATGTGAACAATGTATCATCTAAAATAACAAGGTAAATGTGTATCTCTTCTCAAATACCATGTGTACCGTGTATCTCTTCACAAATACCATGTGTACCGTGTATCTCTTAACAAATACCATGTGTACCGTGTATCTCTTCACAAATACCATGTGTACCGTGTATCTCTTAACAAATACCATGTGTACCGTGTATCTCTTAACAAATACCATGTGTACCGTGTATCTCTTCACAAATACCATGTGTACCATGTATCTCTCACAAATACCATGTGTACCATGTATCTCTTCTCAAATAACATGTAAACCATGTATCACGTCACAAATATCATTTGTACAATGCATCACTTCACAAATACCACGTGTAACGTGTATCACTTCACAAATGCCATGTTAACTATGTATATCTTCACAAATATCATGTCTACCATGTATCACTTCACGAATACAATGTGTACATTGTACAACTTCACAAATACGTTTCCCAATGTATCTTTTCACAAATACCATGTTTACAATGTATCACTTCACTAATGCCATGTTCACAATGTATCTTTTCACAAATATCATGTTTACAATGTATCACTTCACTAATGCCATGTTCACAATGTATCTTTTCACAAATATCATGTTTACAATGTATCACTTCACTAATGCCATGTTCACAATGTATCTTTTCACAAATATCATGTTTACAAAGTATCACTTCACTAATACCATGTTTACAATGTATCTTGTCACAATACCATGTTCACAATGTATCTTTTCACAAATACCATGTTTACAATGTATCACTTCACTAATGCCATGTTCACAATGTATCTTTACACAAATACCATGTTTACAATGTATCACTTCACTAATGCCATGTTCACAATGTATCTTTACACAAATACCATGTTTACAATGTATCACTTCACTAATGCCATGTTTACAATGTATCACTTCACTAATGCCATGTTCACAATGTATCTTTACACAAATACCATGTTTACAATGTATCACTTCACTAATGCCATGTTTACAATGTATCACTTCACAAATACCATGTTCACAATGTATCACTTCACTAATATCATGTTTACAACGTATCTCTTCACAAATACCATGTTTACAATGTATCACTTCACTAATGCCATGTTCACAATGTATCTTTACACAAATACCATGTTTACAATGTATCACTTCACTAATGCCATGTTTACAATGTATCACTTCACTAATGCCATGTTCACAATGTATCTTTACACAAATACCATGTTTACAATGTATCACTTCACTAATGCCATGTTTACAATGTATCACTTCACAAATACCATGTTCACAATGTATCACTTCACTAATATCATGTTTACAACGTATCTCTTCACAAATACCATGTTCACAATGTATCACTTCACAATACCATGTTCACAATGTATCACTTCACTAATGCCATGCATCATCACAAGGATACTCAATGTACCACTATGTATCTCTTCACAAACGCTGTCACTTCATCATTGCAACAAAGCGTCATTGCAACCAATCCTAATGCCCGAATCACCTGGTACCTATACAGCATATTGCATGACAAACATCAAACATCAATATATCCCCTCCCATTACACACTTGATCAACAGCCTCGGGAACAACAACATCAGCAGCAGCATCTCCAACAGCATCACGTAGAGTTAAAATGCCTGTCCGTTTCTCCTGAGAAACAAATATATCTTGAGGTATCAATTGTAAATACATCAATCGTTGATTGGAAATTCTAAATATCGATATATTGATTAATAATAAATTTATTGTTATCTATTACGTGCATAGATAAAACTTACCTACATAGATCTGCATGTATATAAGTTAATGCTGAACAGGGGTTTGTCTGAGTCATTTATTTTTTACAACTGAAGATTCTGACTATTTGTTATCCATGTTAATCATAGTTATCAAAATGCACAAACTGATATGTACTGATATTCATAAACTTGTATCAATACTGTATTGACAATATATAACCCTCTGTAAGTTAACATCGCGATGAAGATCCCATATATCCTTTATTCTCGGTTATGCAGAGAATAGTATCAGTTTTGTATCATGACAAATACATTTGACCTATCACACCTGTAGAGATCAACTTTAGAGTTGGTCAAATCAACTCATGCCTCTCGTAACAGGTGACATGCGGGACAGTTGGGTCAAATTCAGTGCCTGTCATCGTATCCTGTATGCGTAGGTCAATGCTCATGATTACAATCACTGGACTATCTGAATTTGTAACCACCCGTGAAGGTCCGGGTTAGAATATTGATCTTCAGTAATCCATGCTTGTCGTAAGAGGCGACTAACAGGATCGGGTGGTCAGGCTACACTTGGTTGAAACTTGTCATCGGTTCCCCATTGCGCAGATCGATACTCATGCTGTTGATCACTGGATTGTCTGTTCCATACTCGATTTTTTGCAGACCACCGCCATATAGCTGGAATATTGCTGAGTGCAGCGTAAAACTAAACTCACTCACTCACTGAATTTAAACAATTTAGACCCATTACTGCCACTACTTTGTATCAAGTTAATTTTGGATGAAACAACACAAATAGTCAGGCTGAAGAACCCTCGTGAATGAGTAAACGTCTGAACAACGTTACTGAAGATGGAAGTTGAAACAAAGATAGAGACGGTACAGTCTCATACCACTGACTGACTGACTGTGTTTGGTTTTACGCCGCTTTTAGCAATATTCCAGCAACATCACGGCGGGGGACACCAGAAATGAGCTTCACACATTGTACCCATGTGGGGATTCGAGCCCGGGTCTTCGGCGTGTCGAGCCAATGCTTTTACCACTAGGCTACCCCACCGCCCAGTCTCATACCAAACAAGTAAGTGAGTGCTTTTAGCAATATTCCGGCAATATCTCAATGAGGACACAAGAAATGGGCTTCACGTGTTGTACCCATGTGGGGAATCGAACCCGGGTCTTTGGCGTCATACCATACAAAGAGGATGTGGTTCTTGGAGCCAATGCGTGAGTGAGTGAGTGAGTTTAGTTTTAAGCCGCACTCAGCAATATTCCAGCTATATGGCGGCAGTCTGTAAATAATCGAGTCTGAACCAGACAATTCAGTGATCATGGCAGCCAATGAGTCTTGGGTAGCAGAGTCAATATAATATAATATTACCCCGTATAATACATTTGGCAATCGAGGATTACATTCATTTCAGACGTTGAATGAATAAATTAGCAGGTAAATACTTTAAATTAATCAAACTTACAGCAACCAAGGTTACCTGTACCATAGAAATGACTAAAAAATTGATTATGAGTTGTGGGTATTATTTTGTGTTCAGTGTATTACTCAAACCTGTATTGGAGTGCTCCAACCACCTTCTATATGTCAGTCTATCACTGGTACTAAGTCGTGCATTTAATCACATCAAACAAGATGTGGTTTTCAATGCATTCCTTACTCTCCTCTACCACTGTTGAAGTACTAGGAAGTGGAAATACAGGGCTTGCATTATTTAAGGACAATTTAATGGTCCCTTCTCAAAATTTAGGGCCATTAAAATATATGTCATATTTTTTTCCATTATATTTAACAGGGACTTCGGAAAATTTGAACCAAACACAGCAGATGTGCAGCGGAGGGGAGATAACTCTATCATTACTAACACCATTCAGAGCATATATTACAACTTTCTTTCTTTGCAACAATGTTTAACAGATCTTAACACATTTTTCAAAGCATGAAAAGATGATATAATTGATGGGGATCAGAAAGGATTTGTTAAGGTCTTTAATTGCTAAAGCTAACTTTAACTGTTCATTAAAGATGGTAAAACCCCTGAGATGATTTCGCATCACACCGTACCCTAAGGCTCTCAGTCACACATCTCCCCTCACTCCCACCAGTCCTGCCATCGTCAGCCCCTCCCACTATCCTCAGCTACTGACCCCCACCCAAATACCCGCCATGATGACCATCTGACGCCCATATTTGAACTGGTCACCTCGTACACTAAAGAGAAACAATACATGATGCCACAAGCTGACTGTTTCCTGTCATGCAGTAATCTCTTTCTCTTAGCCTTCCTAACACAAATGTCATTACAAAGCCTATCTGACAAAACCAAGATCGCTAAATGTACCGACCACATTGTAGTCTTAAACAGAAGCTTGTAAGTTCTGTCCAAGATACGGCATGTAAAAAGCTTAACAGAAGACAAGAAAAAAACAACTAAAAATTGCCCCAAAACTATACCTGAAATATTTCAAAATGAAAAAATATAGTTATATTATTATTATATCCATATAATTTCCTTAAATTAAAACAACTAACAACCATTAAAATTAACTATTTTTCATTATAATCTAGTTTGCTTCTTGAGTAGAGAGACACTGTAAACTACTAAATTCCATTCTCTTTAGAGTGGTATTTTTAGAGCAAAAAAGCAAGACCTACAGAGTGTAGACCATGTCTATGGTCCTAAAGATAGGGCTGGGACGGATACTCGCGTACTCGAATCCGGGTAGGGTACATCTGGATTCGAGTCCTATTTCTAGGAATCAAGTACACGGAAAGGGAGAGAACTCTGTACTGACAAGGGCAGATAATAACTTGTCTTTTTCATTATTGAAGTAACACACATTTACCTCATTAGTATTGTCCGATTAGTGGAAGTATAGTTTTAGGTTAGAGTTATACTGATTTTAACAGTACGTCAAGAGTTGCCTCCCTTTGACCAACCCATGACTTAGGTGTTTGACTGTGATGTGAAGAGTTATCTTCCTTGGTGTTAGAGGGCGTTACGTAACACCGCACTTACTGCTAGCACGGCGACCGCTGTCGGACACAAGGTTTTATGAAAACGACAAGAAGATTTCATGTTGCTGAACACCTGCAGGAAGTGTCAGCGGAGCTGCCGATCCCGCATCAGACTCTACAGCCACAGCCGGCACTGCAACACGACCACAGATTGACCTGGGTGCAGATTCACCATTGTCTCACGAGACAGAAGGATGCCAACAGCTTTATATTGATTATACAGATAAAGCCTAAGAACAGTTTTAATGTTGTATTGCCATCTATTCAAGTTTTCTATAATACTCTGTCAAATTGTGATTGAATATTCAGAAAGTTGACTGAAGCGCTGTGTATTCCTTACATTTCCGAGTACTCGATTCCGATTTGGGTAAGTACATTTGGGTACTCGATTCTGATTCGAGTAAGTACATTTGGGTACTCGATTCCATTTTTTCCTACCCGTCCCAGCCCTACCTGATGACATTGAGTTATAAAGGTTTCACTGAACACACTCAAGAGTAAAACTCTTTATACAACACATAATTAACCAACAAGACCATCGTGGAACTTGCTCTACTTCACTGACAGAGTAGAGATGTAAATAAGCATAGACTATTTCATTTCTAAGATCTGTTTTGGTCATGGATAGCTGAGTTAAACATAAATCTCTGTTTAATTAAGATGTCTTGCTGACAGTGTAATACTTTCAAGGTATAACATCATAGGAAAAATCAAAATAACAAGGAATTTAAGAGCATACACGAGGTTTAAGATGGCTCTGTTTTGCCAGTAGTGAGGTAGAAATCTAGGACTGGAAACTCTTCTTTATTGCAATGTTGGGGTAGACTTTCCTCCAGCCTTCCACGACCACGTTGTCCAGGCCGGCACAGAATGACACATCGAAGAACCGCAGCTTCTTACAGTTCTCCAGCACCCTGTGGCAATGACATCAGTGAGACAGGTCAGAGAGACATTGTAGTGAGACAGGTGAGTGAGACAGACAGGGCACTGAGACAGGTCAGAGAGACAGGGTAGTGAGACAGGTCAGAGAGACAGGGTAGTGAGACGGGCAGAAAGACAGGGCAGATAGACAGGTCAGAGAGACAGGGCACTGAGACAGGTCGGAGAGACAGGTCTGAGAGACAGGGTAGTGAGACAGGTCAGAGAGACATTGTAGTGAGACAGGTCAGAGAGACATTGTAGTGAGACAGGTCAGAGAGACAGGGTAGTGAGACAGGTCAGAGAGACAGGGTAGTGAGACAGGTCAGAGAGACAGGGTAGTGAGACAGGTCAGAGAGACAGGGCAGATAGACAGGGTAGTGAGACAGGTCAGAGAGACAGGGCACTGAGACAGGTCAGAGAGACAGGGTAGTGAGACATTGTAGTGAGACAGGGTAGTGAGACAGGTCAGAGAGACAGGTCAGAGAGACATTGTAGTGAGACAGGTGAGTGAGACAGACAGGGCACTGAGACAGGTCAGAGAGACAGGTCAGAGAGACAGGGTAGTGAGACAGGTGAGTGTGACAGGGCAGAGAGACATTGTAGTGAGACAGAGCAGAGAGACATTGTAGTGAGACAGGGCAGAGAGACAGGGTAGTGCAACAGAGCAGAGAGACAGGCAGAGAGATATTGTAGTGAGACAGGGTAGTGAGACAGAGCAGAGAGACATTGTAGTGAGACAGGGTAGTGAGACAGAGCAGAGATACATTTTAGTGAGACAGGGTAGTGAGACAGAGCAGAGAGACAGGGCAGAGAGATATTGCAATGAGACAGGGTAGTGAGACAGGGCAGAGAGATATTGTAGTGAGACAGGGCAGTGAGACAGGGTAATGCAACAGAGCAGAGAGACAGGACAGAGAGATAGGTTGTAGTGAGACAGGGTGAGACAGAGCAGAGAGACATTGTAGTGAGACAGGGCAGTGAGAAAGAGCAGAGAGACAGGGCAGAGAGATATTGCAATGAGACAGGGTAGTGAGACAGGGCAGAGAGATATTGTAGTGAGACAGGGCAGTGAGACAGGGTAGTGCAACAGAGCAGAGAGACAGGGCAGAGAGGTATTGCAGTGAGACAGGGTAGTGAGACAGAGCAGAGAGACATTGTAGTGAGACAGGGTAGTGAGACAGGGTAGTGCGACATAGCAGAGAGACAGGCAGAGAGATATTGCAGTGAGACAGGGTAGTGAGAAAGGGCAGAGAGATATTGTAGTGAGACAGGGTAGTGTGACAGAGCAGAGAGACAGGGCACAGAGACTGGGTAGTGAGACAGTGCAGAGTGACAGGGTAGTGAGACAGAGCAGAGAGACAGGGCAGAGAGATATTGTAGTGAGACAGGGCAGAAGAGACAGGGCAGAGAGATAATGCAGTGAGACAGGGCAGAGAGATATTGCAGTGAGACAGGGCAGAAGAGACAGGGCAGAGAGATAATGCAGTGAGACAGGGCAGAGAGATATTGTAGTGAGACAGGGTAGTGCGACAGGGCAGAGAGATATTGTAGTGAGACAGGGTAGGAGTGCGACAGAGCAGAGAAACATTGTAGTTAGACTGGGTAGTGAGACAGGGCAGAGAGACATTGCAGTGAGACAGGGTAGTGAGACAGGTCAGTGAGACAGGGTAGTGCGACAGGGCAGAGAGATATTGTAGTGAGACAGGGTAGTGCGACAGAGCAGAGAAACATTGTAGTGAGACTGGGTAGTGAGACAGGGCAGAGAGACATTGCAGTGAGACAGGGTAGTGAGACAGGTCAGTGAGACAGGGTAGTGCGACAGGGCAGAGAGATATTGTAGTGAGACAGAGGAGAGAGACATTGTAAGGAGACAGGGTTGTGAGACAGGGTTGTGAGACAGGGTAGTGAAACATGGTAGTGAGACAGCAGAGAGACATTGTAGTGAGACAGGGTAGTGAGACAGGGCAGTGAGACAGGGTAGTGCGACAGAGCAGAGAGACAGAGCAGAAATATTCTCATACATATATAATGTTAATTACACCTTGTGAAACACGAAACATACAACTCTAAAACGTATATTTATTGTATACAACACATCAATGACAGAAGACATAAGATATAAGTAACATGTGGTCAGGTGTTATCTTCATCTTCAAAAATATGCATTACCTTACAGCTGCATCAGCTGTTACCTCCCTTGTGCCCAGAATGTCCAGCTGTTCCAGATTGGCCAAGTTCTTAGCTATGGCCAGAAGGTCCACATCACATACAGTCCTGCAGTGATAACAAACATTATACATAACATATTGCTGCTGACTATGGTCAAAACTTATTTCCATGTTTAGGGGCTCAAGAAACCAGTGACTGACACAGTGAGCATCATGGAATTCTGTCAGAGTACAATAACAACAAGTCATCAAGTGTAACCACTGAATCATGCCGTCGCCCTTGAGAAGAAGAAAGATCTACGACACAAAATTACAATAATTTTGACAAAGATTCATCACAAGCAAAGGAGAAAACGGTACAAAATATTTCATTTCAGAAAGCAAAGTATTTTTAACATATGGCTTTCACTGTATAGTTTAATAATTATATGTGAAATAAGTATACATACAGACATAATAAGTTTATTACCTCTGAAACATCTTATGATGCCACAATGTTGAAATAGGTCAACTGGACCAAATATATCCAAAATATATACTACTCCAAAGACGTTAAACAACTATAAATTTTTTCCTAAGGGACCGTTCATAATTTATGGCTAGGGGGGTGATGATGATTGTAAGGGGGGTCACCCATTTTGCTCTGGGAAGGTAGGGGGGTCATCAATTTGTACACATGTTTTAGGGGGGTCATCAATTTTGTACATAAAAATATTTAAAAATTAGGCTTACAAAATATGGGAAGGGGAGGGGGGTCATTGATTTTGTACATCCAGTGGGGGTCAGTCACATTGTACATGCTTCTCCATAAAAATCATCATCATCCCCCTAGTCCTAAATTATGAATGGTCCCTCAGGTTAACCTGTTAATAGTCACAAGGAAAACATTAGGTTGTTCTTCAGCTTCTTCTCAACAGGATAAATATGACAATGTATGCTGGGTACCTGTTGGCAGTGAGGAAGAGCTTGCGTAGTTTCTTACACTTCTCCACTAGGCTGACGAGACACCCAGTGCTGGAGTGGAGGTCAGTGCTGCAAGACAAGTGAGTGAGTGAGTGAGGTATTGTTTATTCCAGCTGTATTTGGGTGGTTTGTATATATTCAAAACTGGACCAGACGAACCACTGTTACTGAGAGTACGGCCAACTGAGTCAGTGAGTGTGTGAGTGAGTGAGTTTACTGTTTTATCTCAACACCGCTTATCTCCCTTTGTTACAAAAGCTGCTCACTGAAATAGGGAAATGGTGTCAACACATAGTCAGACATATATTTTTGTCCAAAGACTATTTCACTAACCAACCCTGTTGGTCCAAAACATACCACCAGCCTATATGCTGACAAGGTAAGTTTCCAACCCTGTTGGTCCAAAACATACCACCAGCCTATATCCAGCTCCTCCAATTCAAAGCAGTTGTTTGCAATAGCTTGAAGTCCGATGTATGAGATCTTTCGAGAACGCCAGAGATCAAGAGATCGTAGTTTCCTGGAAACAAACAAATAAAAGACACATCAAAACTTATTTACGTCACTACTGTCATGACTACTAGCATAAAATCTTTTTAAACCAAGTATATTTACATTTCACATTATAAGTCATGCGTGTGATGGGGCCGCATGAGTAGGACTGGTTCAACACTTGGTCAGAAATGTACAAACAATGAGGATTTTCTTTTCTTTTACTATCTTTGGATGGTATTAAAATGGCATTCTAGCACAACATATTGTGATACTTGATTCTGATTGGCTGAGAGCTCATCAAAATCGTAACTAAATGGCAGTTTAAGGACCGCTACTTAAAGCAACCGATTAACAGCGTATGAATACAATGAACGCGTTGACCTTCTTGTTTGTTTGTTTGTTTATGTGTTTGGTTTTTTAAGTTACATTTAGTGGTCTTAAATGAACGATAAAGGACCACAAAATTGAAAACAGAGTAACTTTATCTTCTAAATATATACTATTGCTGCATGGGAAGTCTGTCTTCCACATGCACTAGGCTGTTGTGTTTGGGTGTTTGAATCAAACATGGTGTTGGTGTGTTTCAGCACCCATGTTTTTTGTTTTTGACAATGTTTCATTTCACTCAAACTCAACGAATATTGAATCAGTTGCTTCACTGTAAAATCTAACACTTTGTTTAAAGTGCCCATTAAACACACAAAAGTTGCATTTACCTTAGAGTATAAAAGATCTCACCAAGTTTAAGTTTATATATGACTATCAAATTTTATGGTGTTCCCATGCTTTTTGTTTGTAGCATATAACAAGAGTGAAAAAGATTCTTTGTTCCCTTTCCTTGTTGAAAAACGTATCAACAAAAACAAATAAAGATACAAAATCTTGGCATTTGTTTCACATTTCTCAGCATTAGCTGATTTTTATACTTATCCTGACTCATGATCTTTTACTTATCTCCCTTTCCTTTCGAATGGTAGTGGAACACTTGAATCCCTTTACTGTTTGCGCGGGAAAAGGGCAAAAGGGAGGTAACTGGTGGGTGAGTGTATCTTTATGTCCGCTTCGGGAACTTCAAGGGATTCAAGTGTTCCACTACCATTCGCAAGGGAAAGGGAGATAAGCAAAAGATCATGAGTCAGGATAAGAAAAAATTTAATTACTATGAAATATACACAATCATGACAATAATTCTTAAACATTGCTTTAAGCGGTGTACAATTTGATTAAGAAAGGGTTTAATGTATTGATTTTGAGGGTATTTTTTCGAAATTTTACTGTACATTAACCAATTATTGATATGAGAACACTACAATAATAATGAGTGTCATGAAGGAATACTGTACTTTGAGAACTTCCCCAGAGCAGCAGCAACATCGTCGTGACTGGAGATGCGGCTACAGGAGCCGATGTTTAGGTGCTGGAGATCGGGACAGGAACTGCAGCAGAGTTAGAGAGTAAGAATAATACTGAGGCACAGGTAGGGCTTCATTGTGGGGTTGCCTGGAGTTAGTTCCACTCTGCGCTATCCCACCGCCTCCTTAGAGAGTAAGAAATACATATTTCTAATAGGGCGTGTATATTAGGGAGGGTGAGGGGCAGTGGGGTCTAGTGTTTAAAGCATCTGCTCGTCAAGCAGAAGACCCGGGTTTGATTCCCCACATGGGTACAATGTGTGATGCCCATTTCTGGTGTCCCTCGCCGTGATATTGCTGGAATATTGCTAAAAGCAGCAAAAAATTAACTCACTCACTATTAGGAAGGGGGTATTATACCTCACAAGTGTTAACATGTGAGGTGAGGTAATTGGGTTTAACGTCGTGCTTGAGAATATTTCGCTCATATGACGACGTGCATGCATGTGTATGTGTATGTGTGGCTGCTTGTACTAGCCCAGACTGAAGCTGGTTTTATAGTGCTAGCCAAATGAGATACCATGCCGCAGTGGAGCATGAATACCCCACTCAGACACATTATACTGACTCCGAGCCGACCAGTCCTTGTTGTACCCATTAATGCCGAGCGCCAGACAGGGACCAACAAGTACCATATTTTAACGTCTTTTGGTATGACGCATTCGGGGATCAAACCTGCGACCTTCCGCTCTCCGGGCGGAGGCATTTACCACTACACCACGGAGGCGGTCACATCTGTAAGTACTTATCAGAACATACATCAGTATTAAACAACGACCCCTTGATTGAGAACTGTTATCTACAGAGTATAAAAGGAATTCTTTTGCAAACATTGCCATAGAGTAAAGTATGGCTACATTATCCAATTAGGATCGTCAGAATTTTGGGTATTCTGGTTATACAAAGTTATACAGGTAATTTCTGATCCTGAAATGGAAGGCGTTGCAGATTAATGAAATCTTTTGTTGTGAGCATTATATGACGTCCACAAAAAACAAAAGTGTATATGCATTTATGGATGGAAAAACTTGGTGGCAACAAGGTCAAAAGGTAACGGTCGAGATAATTAATTGTGTGAACTCCTTGAACAAATTCAGTTTCACTGGTTCAGCAGTTGAGCAATTTGTTTTGCCATGGAAAGTCAATTAAATAAGCAGAGGTCTGTGCAGTCATGAATTATGGTAAATATGTTTATATGAGAACATGTCATAATGAACCGACGGCTATAACAAACTGTTTTCTTTCCCCTGACATTTGCTCTTAGTTTTAGTTGAATTGCATATAGCGAACTACTGTTAAAACGAACTAAATTACAGGTCCCTCTAAATTTGTTATAACTGCAGTTAGCTGAGCAGATATACAGTGATGTCTACAGATAAAAACCATATACTACTGACTATATGATGTTGAGAAGTGGGGTCAGTTCCACGAAGGTTCGGTACAGATTCAACTTCTGCAGCTTGGTAATCTTGGTCAGTTCCATCATGCAAAATGTAATTTTCTGAGTAAAATTGATATTTTATACTTATCCTGACTCATGCTCTTTTGCTTGTCCCCTTCCTCTTGCGAACATAGTGGAACACTTGTATCTCCTTAATTGAAGCTCCCTTCAATGTAAAATCACTAATTGGTACTCACCCACGAGTTACCTCCCCTGCCGTAAGCGCGGGAACAGGTGTCGCCACCCTCTGGCCTCATGCTTCACTCTCTCCTGATTTTGCGAGCCCAACACTTGAATTTACAGGGAAATCCAAAGTGTTATGTGGGGAGGATGGGAGGGCTAACCTCATGAGTCAGGATAAGTATAAAATATCAATTTTACTCAGAAAATTACATATTTTTCCTTATCCTGACTCATGCTCTTTTGCTTGTAGAATCCACCGGAGAGGTGGTGGGTAAACAGAATACTTTGGATTAATTAGTGATTTAAGTAAGTGATATTGTAATAACCCCTGCGGGAACTTCATAAGGCATTGAGACTTAGGATATTTCCTTATAATAAGCCATAGATATATACACTATAAGTGGGGTATTACCTTACTAATATACTGATATATCAATATATATATATAAACTGCTACTCTAACGTAGCTGTACACTGAATATAACTCAGTATGAGCTTAAGGTTGAATAACCTAAGCTAAATATGTACATAGCCCTAGAACTCCATGGAGTTATAAGCTAGTGAATATATGTATCATATATCTAATAATCTCGTGGGGGTGAATATTAACGCCTACGAGGGACTGTCAATTGCTGAGCGAGGACCAAAGGACCGAAATGATGAATGCCAGAGACGTCCTCGGTGGTGATATCTCTGAGATAGTGATTAGCAAACACCATGTTAGATTTCCAAAAGCATCCTTCCATAATTGTATTCAATGAACAGTTACCATGAAGGGCGAGGGTGGATGCCAATGCCCTGATTTCATGGGGATTTGATGCTGTTGGAGGGTCCAGTCCTGCTGCCTTATAGGCGCGTAAAATGACAGTTCTTATCCATATTGATATGGTGGTACGAGAGACTTCTGTCTGATTTGTAGGCGATAACGGGATGAACAATCTTCTGAGCGATCTTCGCCTTGTTTTGGAACGACGTAAATAGATTATGAGAGCTCGTACTGGGCATAGAGATAAGTCCAATGTATCTTGAGATCCAAGAATTGAGGATAGCGCAGGGATGTGAAATAACCTGTCTGGTTGACCTGGTAGTTGATTTTTAGCGATGAAATCCCATCTTAATCCCAGGTGCGCTGTCTTTTGATTTTCATCAAACTGTATCCTCTCATAATCTAGAGCATGAATTTCAGATATTCTGGCTGCCGTGGCTAGCGATAACAGGAAGACTGTTTTCTGTGAGAGAAATTCAAACGTTGTCGATTCCAATGGTTCGTAATCCTCACTTGTGAGGTGTCGTAAAACTACATTCAGATCCCAAGCTGGGGCGTGGAATTTCCGCTTTTGGTCCTCCAATCGGAAAGCACGTAGTAAGGCCAGTAACTCTGGTGTTCTTGTTAATTTAACACCCGTTCTCATAGAAATCACAGAACTAAGCGCGGCAAGATATGTTGACAATGTCGAGCCTTTTAAATGTTTGTTTTGCCGTAAGTAACACAAATAGTCTGCCACTTGAGGATGCGTAGCATCTCTCGCTGTAAAACCCTTGTTTGTTGCATAATTTTCGAAACTTTGCCACTTGTCATCGTACAAGTTACGCGTTGAGTATCGTAAGGCAAGCGTGACCGCTTTTGCCGCCCTGGTAGAATATCCTCTCTTGTTTAAACACATTTTAATACAGTCCATACGTGAAGTTTGAATACTTCTGGGTTTCTGTGCACCTGTTTGGTGTGAGGATGTATTAACAGGTTTGCGCGCTTGGGTAGTTCTAGTGCCGGTTGACCGATATCTTGTATTAAGGCGGGAAACCACGTTCTGGCCGGCCAATAGGGCGCGACCAAAGTGAGTTGTAGGCTCTGCGTTTGGTTGATTTTCTGTAATACTAGAGGTATTATTGCTGGGGGCGGAAACGCGTACGCATTGAGGCCTTCCCATGAAATGCTTAGAGCGTCTGTTGCCCATGCTTGTGGGTCTGGCACTGGTGACACGAATGTCGGTAGTTGATTGTTGAACCTTGTGGCGAATAGATCTACTAGCGGCGCTCCTATTTGCTTGATTATCTGTGCAAATATCTCTGTATTGAGCATCCATTCTGTCGGCGACGGTAGATGTGGCCGAGAGAGTGCGTCTGCTAGTATATTCCTGGCTCCGGGAATGTGGCATGCTTTGACATGTAGATTTAGATCTTGGATTAATTCGAACAGTTGAAAGGTTAAATTCAAAAGGTTCGGCGATCTCGTTGAGCCTTGTCTGTTCACATAAAACGCCACTGTCGAGTTGTCGGTATGTATCATCAGGTGCGCATTCTGTAGAATGTTGCTCCAATGTCTTATGGCGTTGATTACAGCTTTCATCTCTAATGCGTTTATGTGGAGTTTGCTTTCTAGCTGAGTCCATAACCCTGATGCCGTCCGGTTGGAGAGATGAGCTCCCCAACCTTGGAGCGACGCGTCTACATATAGATGGGTCTTGAATTCCTGCTCTGCTAAACAAATCCCTTCGCAGACATTCGATTTCTTTGTCCACCATAATAGATGAGGTCTGAGATGTATCGGTAGACTGAATGGTTGTAGGTCGTCGAGATGTGTATTGACGAAGACCTGTAACGGACGTAACTGTAATCTGCCTATGACTGTCAAGTCTTGGGCTGATGTTAGAAGACCTAGTAAGCTCTGCCATTGTCGAAGTGGTAGCGGTGACAGTAGAGCTGGTGGAATGATCTGTTGGATCTTGAGCCAACGGTCTTCTGGTACGACTATACGGTTGAGATTGGTGATAAATCGGATTCCTAGGAATTGCAGATCTTGCGATGGTACTAGGTCCGACTTGTGTAAGTTTACTAACCATCCCAGCTGTGTTAGTAGCTTTATGATGTAGTTTAACTGTAGTTTGAGATGCTGTGGATCTTGATCTACTTGTATCCCGTCGTCGAGGAAGAACGCACTGCGTGAGCCCTTTGACGATGTAGATAGATAACAATCGGTTTCGCTATCCTCGTGAATAACCATGGGGCTGATGCTATTCCGAATGGGAGTACTTTCCACTGGTAATGTAACCCGCCTAGCGTAAACCGAAGGTATTTCCTGGATTCGGGATGTATTGGGATGTGCAGATAAGCATCTTGTAGATCTATACTGCCCATGTAGTCCATGGGGCTTAATCATCTGCCGTAGCTGCGGTAGATGTATCATAGTGAACCTGGGTGGTTTGTTTAAGTAAGTCTTGTTGAAGAAGCTCATGTTGTAAATGAGTCTGTATTTCTCCTTGGAGTTCTTCTTGGGTACTAGGAAAACTGGGGAGTAGAAACCTGGTTCGATGTTTCCTTGCTCTATTACTTCTATGGCCTGCTTGGTTAGGAGTAATGTAACCGCCTCTTAACTTTAGTAGTTGTTGTGCCTCTACCCTCGAACTTGTGAGGGTTGACTGTTAGTGGAGGCTTGGCCTGTAGTGGGATACAAAACCGCTGCTTGAAGAATGTTGGAGACATAGGTGTCTTGAAGTATTCCCCAGTTTTCCCAGTGTAGTTGAAGACGCCCACCCACTTGTGACGGTTGTACTGGAACGGCTGGGGTGGAAGACTCCAGTCGTTCAACCTGTCTTTCAGCGCTTATAGTTGCGGGAACCTCTGGGTGTCCTGCCTCGCCCTGACCCTCCTCTATAGTTGCCATATGGGCTTACTTTAAAAGAATCTCTTCCCCTGAACTGGCAATCTTCCTGTCTCTAGCTCTTTGTAGGCCCGTGAATTTAGATCTCCCTGAGTATCTTTGTGAAGTCTGTCGAATGACACTGGCTAGCGCGGTCCATCGATTTAATCATCAGGACTTCTAGAATCCTTGGTGACTTCTTTGGAGACTGTGTCTATTCCTCCGTCAAATATGGATGGGGAAGACCACGGGCTGTATATAGTGGAGCTGTAAAGTTCTCACCCCAGTTGCAGGAAGCTAGGAGGCCTTGACGACGAGCTAAGGTCAGTGCTGCTGAGACAGACGCCAGATGATCTGTTAAAAACTGCTGGTCCTTCTTTTGCATCAGTAGGGCCGAGTAAATCATTCTGTCATCTTCAGAGGTCGTGTTCAAATCTGGAGATAAGTGTCTCATTTATTGTTCTAGATCTATTTAGACCGAAGAACATATACTTCGGCCATGGTTTCTATCTGAACCAATTTCCGATCATCAATCTTGTAGTACTTGTTCTTGGCATCGGAGATCAGCTTATAGTTCTCATCGATGTCTTGGCGCTTTGAAGAAGGGTTCCATATTATGCGGAGAACTTCTTGGCGCTGAAATTTGGCAGATGTGGCGCCTGAACCTTTGTGGCTTTGTTAAATGCTGTATCTAGGTTCTGAGGTACCGCCGCAATCGGGTCGATTGGGGTAGTGTAATAGCATCTCAAGCCATCTTCTTTCATCAGATAAGTCTGCTTTTATTGCCACTTTTGAAGGTGATGAGAGATCTAGATTATTGACCATCCAATATCTTATCTCTGCATCTGAGAAAATAATTCCTCCATCATCTTCCATTCCATCATCATAGATAAGAGGTTGTTGCTCTTCTGATGTAGGGCTGTGTGGCTCTATCTCTATATCGCTTGACGCTTGTGGAGATCTAGTTGTAGGCTTATGTGCAGACCCGTGAGGTGATCGACGGGTGATCGGGCGAGGTGATCGCCTTGGTGATCTATATCGATAGGTTGACCTTCTTGGCGATCTATGAGGGGACTGATAGCTTCACGGGCTCTTGTGTAGTCCCTTGCTGATCTTTTAGATGAAGACGATCTGGGTTCAGGTGTCCTTCGCTAACGCCTTCGCTGCTTCAGATGTCCGTCCTGGGGAACGATGATATGACCTTCGCCGGGCTTCATGCGTGGTGGTCTGGTGATCAGATTCCATATCTGAGTATGACGCCAAGAAGGTGATGATTCTTCCCGCCGGCTGGGCCTTCGCCGAAGGCTGTACATCTGGGTCCTTCGTCGAGGTGGTCTGTGACTTCCTTCGGGCTGCATTGTCGCGGCTGCTACGCTGACAGATGGTGCCCTGGGGTGCTGTTCACGCTTGGAGCCTTCGCTGGCTGGCTCGGACCCTGGGATGGCTGCTTCTCCAGTCTATAGTGGCCTTCCATCATAATCATGATCTGTTTCATAAGATCGCTTTGGGATGATCTGCGACGTAGTAGATGGTGCCCTTTCTGCTGTGTTAGCGGTGGGGCCCTCAGCGATCTCGCCTGACATCAGTGTAGAGGCATCAGGCTGCTTGTTGATCTCTGCTGACGCCACTGTCGCTGTCACTGGTCGCCTTCTGTGGCGTATGTCGGGTATGATGATCGGCTGGTCATCGTGAGGCCCAATTCTGCTGCTGGAACGATCTCGCCTGAGAAAGTTCTCGATGACTTCGTAGATTTCCCTTTGGAGGAAGACGCTGCCCTGGGGGTACGGTCTGCGCGCTGAGAAGACGCTGAGGCCCTCTTGACTTTGTCTGCGATGACTGGATGTCTGGAGAGGCCGGTCGCTTCTTAGAGGTGACGGACTGCATCCCACGCCCCTCTTCCGATGGGGTCTCAAGCAGAACACCAGACGGAGGGGATCACTCGACAGCAGTTGACTGGATGGGCAATCCGGACGTGATCGCCCATGTCTACACCTAGTTTGCGTGACCTATCTGCAACACGCCTCAAGACGCAAAGATGGTATTTATCAAAGGCAGAATTGGTTAAATTTATGCAGTAACTGCAACGTGAGTCAAACGCACAAGGCGTAGTACAACTAGGGCATACCACATGCGGATCCGCGAGCGAAAACGTAATCTACAAATAGTACAGTTTTTCATCAATGTAAAACTAGCTGAACAATCACTTAACTCACGGGAATAAACAGTAGAAATAATGATTAATTATTAACGCAAATAACTGAAGGATACTAGCTATACCTTTATAGTAAACTATAAAAGGTAACTAACTAAGAAAACCAAAGGATATAGTGTGTAAGGAGACACAGGCGCTCTCACATCCTGCTCACTGGGCTTAAGAAGGAGAGAGTGAAGCATGAGGCCAGAGGGTGGCGACACCTGTTCCCGCCACGGCAGGGAGGTAACTCGTGGGTGAGTACCAATTAGTGATTTTACATTGAAGGGAGCTTCAATTAAGGAGATACAAGTGTTCCACTATGTTCGCAAGAGGAAGGGACAAGCAAAAGAGCATGAGTCAGGATAAGGAAAAATCATTTCTGGTGTCCCCGGACGTGATGTTGCTGGAATATTGCTAAAAGCGGCGTAAAACCAAAACTCAGTCAGTCAGTCAGTCAGTCAAAGTGCAATGGTCAGATAAGGTCAATTAGTGAAAAACAGAATGTTTTCAGCTCCATAGCTAACTACACAATCACCACATTTCATTATATTTTGAACAGTATTTTGAACATACGGAGTAAGAGCTTTCAGAATAGTCAAAGTGCAAAGGTCAAATCAAGGTTAAAATTTAAATGTCTTGAAAACAGACCATAGATTTTGAGACCTACTACCTTTGACACAGGCACTAAAAATTTATACGAACCTGTAGAGGTTATGAATTCTTTGAAGAAAGTCCTCCTTGGGGTACATATAAGCATTAAAATGTCCACTTTAAATCCTACGAAAGTTGTAACTATATTTTCCAAAAAAATATTTACAAAACAAAAAACTTATTTTGTCTTGTGAGACCACCCTTACAGGGCCTCACCGGACCCCCTACAGCCAAGAGCAGGTAACTCTTGCTGTCTACCTCGTACGAACACCACGCACGTCTATTCAACAGAACGACAGCATGAAAAGTGAGGTACGAGGTAGACGGCGAGAGAGTTTTTTGTTTTGTAAATATTTTATTGAAAAATATAGTTACAACTGTCGTAGGATTTAAAATGGACATTTTAATGCTTATATGTACCCCAAGGAGGACTTCTGAAAAAGAATCAGCACACGGTGTACAAAAACTAATGGGTAATGACCATAAATAGCTACTGTATTTCAATATGGCAGCCAAGGTGCTATCTCTGTATCTGTGGGTGTCTGTCTGTCAGTGTGTGTATATGTGTGCATGTGTGTACACAAGTACACTAACATTACTTTCATAGTGCAGCCCACTGAGATACCATACCACAATTCTAACATGGATACCCAACCAGACACATTTTACTGATCGACCAGGTAATGCAGCAGGATAGCAATAAACACCATCTTTTATATTTCAAGGACTAAAGAAGGCAGCAATCAATACACCAACCTTCCTCTCGAGGCAGACTCTATGCACTGTAGGGGCGGTGGGGTAGCCCAGTGGTTAAAGTGTCAGCTTGTCACGACAAAGACACGCGTTTGATTCCCAACATGGATACAATGTGTGAAGCCCATTTCTGGTGTCCCCCAACTGTGATCTTGCTCGAATATTGCAAAAAGCGGCATAAAACCACCCTCACTCACTCCACTGGACCACACAGGGTGTCTACTATCAATTATCAACAACATGTGTGTACCTACCTGTAAGTTGCGGACAGTTTTCTGCGATCAGGCTAAGATATTCACCAGTCACAAACTGACAGCAAGACAGACCCAAACTGGACAATGTCTGCCCACAGACACCAAGAAATCTAAGAAATAAATAAATAAATTATTCAGCATGTTTATTGTTTACATGAAAAATACAAAAACATAATCACTGACATTGAATTTTTCATTCAATACTGACCTGTAAATCCCAAAAAGATAGATAGTAAAACTTTCTGCTATTATTCACCCTTTTACAACAAAGTTTGTTTGTTTAACACAGCACTCAGGAATATTTAAGCTGTAAAGAGACGGTCTGTAAATAATCAAGCCTTGACCAGACAATCCCGTGATCAACATCATTCGATACTTTCTCGACGTATCATGTCCCCACTGGTGGTGGTCCGATTAATTGAAATAATCGAAGATTGGTCGCAGTGACTAAACGACCAAGCAATCGATCATAATTTCTCATAATCGAACACAAACAATTCTGGAACACTTGTTTGCATTAACAATATTTTTCACAAGGTTGGTTTTGTCTGTTACATTTCATGACCACTACAAGCTCGTTCCAAGTCATGGTTGAATTTATCTTCAAGACTCCAAGAAATTAATGTTCCTAACCTACTAGTCATCCTTTAAAGATGTGAAATTTGCCAATCCCTTTTGTGCAATTTGCAAAAACACCAAAGAACTACAGGGTTTTTTCTTTATTTTTTTTGTCCAGTAACAAAAAATAATCAGGAACATTTCATAAATGACGCTAACCAATTATTTTCGATGATTGATCGGTTGTAATGAACCAATCATCAATTATGAGATTTTGACCAATTCCCAGCACTAGTCCCCACTATATATCAGACTGTCCCTAACAGTACCCCACTGCCTGACCTTGTTAATGCTATAGTGGAGATCGGGCCGTTCTTGCCACACCAGGACAGGTTGAGCCTCTGTATCATGTAACACCGACACTGTAGACTGTCTAACACCTCATCCGATACCTGCAACAGACACTTCACATAATTCCTCTAATTGAGAGGATTTCTACCATCTCAGTATCACTTCAGAGAAAATTGTGTTTGACCTTTTTGTATTATACCGGTTGTCGAGGATGAATTTCACTTTTGCCTCGCGTGTCCATTTTACGTCTTTTCATGCTGTCGTTCTGTTGAAAAGACGTAAAATGAAAAGTCTACTCTACAAAGAAACTTCATACAAGTCATCTTGTTATTCCATGTCATGTTGCTATGCTGTGATGTCATAAGATAATGAAACATTATACTGTTCAAAACATTATCACTTCAACTGACCAATCACCAGTGTGAACACACACAAAGCACATGTAGAAATATCGGAAAGTGATTGAATCTGATCTATTACTATGTGTGATATGTATCCATCATCCACCAGATTGTCTTGAAATTATTCCGAGTAAAGACATTGATTATTGTCAGATATAAACTATAGCTGCCTTAGAACGGATACCAACATAGCTCTTCAAGCAAGATGTACATCACATCAAAAGACTGATAACTGAATCAGAAACTGTATCTATAGTTACCTGGGGCCAGTGTGGCTGCAGGTTGACCTCAGTATACAGAAGGGGGTCGTAGCAGTGCTGTCGCAGCAACCTGTACATAAACACAACCAAATCTCAGGACCGCCCCATGGTGGTGTAGTGGTTAGAGCGTCCGCCCGGAGAGCGGAAGGTCGCGGGTTTGATCGCCGACCATGTCATACCAAAAGACGTTAAAATATGGTACTTGTTGGTCCCTGCCTGGCGCTCGGCATTAATGGGTACAACAAGGACTGGTCGGCTCGGAGTCAGTATAATGTGTCTGAGTGGGGTATTCATGCTTCACTGCGGCATGGTTTCTCAGTGGGCTAGCACTATAAAACCAGTTTCAGTCTGGGCTAGTACAAGCAGCCGCACATACACATACACACGCTTGCACGTCGTCATATGAGCGAAATATTCTCAAGCACGACGTAAAACCCAATTTCACCTCACCTCACCTCACCTCACCAAATCTCAGTTACATTAGTCAGGGTGTATCAGAGAATAGAGACCTGTAATGTTACTGATAATATCTCTACTTTTGCATGATGGGTGGTGGGGTAGCCTAGTGGTTAAAAGCGTCGCTCGTCATGGCAAAGACTCGGATTCGATTCCCCACATGGGTACAATGCATGAAGTCCATTTCTGGTGTCCCCTGCCGTGATATTGCTGGAATATTGCTAAAAGTGGCATAAAACTACACTCTCTCCCTCGCTCATTTTTGCATGACACTGCTTTAAAACAAGTCCCAATGTGATTTCCAGACATTACTTAAACATATCAAGACAGGTGAACCTGAAAAAACATCATCACGTTCTGTTTTGTTGTGGCCTTACTTGCATGTCTGAGAGGCACAACATATAGAGGGTGTGTCCAGATAACTCAGGATGAGCTGAATGACCTCCTCCTGAAATTGAAAAACAATCTGTGCACTATAAATACATGTGCAAAATATCCAAAACAAACCAATCCTGGAACAAAGCAAATGTGACAAGCAGATTTTCCCTTCATCCCTTCATCGATGTCAACAACATCATGATCACATTTCCAAATCAGAGGTGAAGAAGGGAGGGCTATCATGCTTAAGTCTTTTTATTTTTGTTTTTGTATTGTTTGCTGTTTAGCGCCGCAAATATTCCCGCTATATAGCAGACGTCTGTAGATAATTGAGTCTTGACCAGACAATCCTGTGATCAACAGCAGGAGAATCAATCTAGGTAATTGGGATACGATGACATGTGTCAACCAAGTCTGCGAGCCTGACCCCCCGATCCCGTTAGTCACCTCTAGTAGTATACACCATGGTGGCACGGGACCAGGTCCCTCCCAAGGGCTCAATTTTAAAAATTGAGCCCTTGGGAAGTCCCTAATCCCGTGCTACCATGGTGTATACTACTGTGTATACTACTACTGAGGTGCATGCAAAATTTCACAAAAATCGGTGGAATAGTTTAGTAAATAATAACTTTTTAGTGAGCATGGGGTTGGTAGGGTGAAATGTTTGTTTTTAAAAAAAAAAGAAAGTTTTCTATGACACTACTCCTCTTACAACAAGCATGGCCAATTCCAACCCTGGGCCCTGTTCCTCAAAGCGATCGTAGTGCTACGACAGTCGCAAGTCTATGTTAAAGTATGGGAGTTACGATCACCTTAGCGCTCGATCGCTTTGAGGAACGGGGCCCTGGGCCCTGTTCCTCAAAGCGATCGTAGCGCTACGACTGTCGTAAGTCTATGTTAAAGTATGGGAGTTACGATCATCTTAGCCCTACGATTGCTTTGAGGAAAGGGGCCCAGATCGTCATGGGTTTAATGCTAAAGTCAGTAATTCTCAACACAGATACAGTCACTCAACTCACCAAGTCTGACCACTTCAATATAGTTGACTTCTACCATGCTTACCATCAGCAAAGGGGGTGCTTAAGGCCTATCTTGGGTGTTACAAAAATGAGGTTAAACAAACCAACCCAGCTAGACAGTCCAACTCTGTAACAGCTTAGTTCCTTGCCACCTAAATACTTTGAACGGAATAGACTGACAAAGTTTTGTCTAAATCTTACAGGTAAACAACCGAAGTATCCATTCAGTACAGGTTTCCAGCTCTCATTGGTTGTCTCTGTGACATGTGTGTCTCTCAGCTCCAGCCTCTCCAAGGATTGGGTGAGAATCTTGTTGGTAGCTGCCCAGGCCTGGTATTGATCCTTGTCAGAGATACCCTGTAGGATAACAGCATCCAGCTCGGTGTAGTACTGCAGCTTCTCATGACATAGCTCCAGGCGGATCAGGCTGCAATAGACAGATATCACACGGTTTAACAAGAATACAGATGTCTTTCAGTCATACATGATAACAGCATCCAGCTCGGTGTAGTACTGCAGCTTCTCATGACATAGCTCCAGGCGGATCAGGCTGCAATAGACGGATATCACAGGGTTAAACAAGAATACAGATGTCTTTCAGTCATACATGATAACAGCATCCAGCTCGGTGTAGTACTGCAGCTTCTCATGACATAGCTCCAGGCGGATCAGGCTGCAATAGACGGATATCACACGGTTAAACAAGAATACAGATGTCTTTCAGTCATACATGATAACAGCATCCAGCTTCGGTGTAGTACTGCAGCTTCTCGCGACATAGCTCCAGGCGGATCAGGCTGCAATAGGAGGATATCACATGGTTTAACAAGAATACAGATGTCTTTCAGTCATACATGATAACAGCATCCAGCTCGGTGTAGTACTGCAGCTTCTCATGACATAGCTCCAGGCGGATCAGGCTGCAATAGACGGATATCACATGGTTAAACAAGAATACAGATGTCTTTCAGTCATACATGATAACGGCATCCAGCTCGGTGTAGTACTGCAGCTTCTCATGACATAGCTCCAGGCGGATCAGGCTGCAATAGACAGATATCACACAGTTAAACAAGAATGCAGATGTCTTTCAGTCATACATGATAACGGCATGAAGTTCGGTGTAGCACTGCAGATTCTCATAAAATATTTTTTATCAGTACAATATGTAACCCTGGAGTCAACTTTGTGTGCAGACTCTTTCAGTGTTGTCACAACCCCTAGTGTACAGTACACAACCCTGTGCACTTAAAAGAACCCACGAATCCGTTGGTATATGTCCAGCTGGCGGCAACATGAATACCTAGTTGCGGGTACAGCAACGTGCAGTAAACTTGGACAAAGTACTGTGACTATGTGTCCCAGTTGACCCAGGTGTGAATGGGTACGTCTAAAGGATGGGAAAGCCACAATAACTCGGTGCGCCTAGTGGCTGCAAGAGTTGTATGCTCCCCAGGGAGTTGAGATATATGATAATAATATTGGAAATTTTAACCATAAATTACCGTATATTTATATACTTATCGTATCTCACGATATGCACCTCTCTTCTTCTTCTACGACCATGAGTGGAAACGTGCTGTAGGCTAAGTTGAATCAAAACTTCCTGCCTCTGACCACCTGACCTCTGCCCCCACTCCGATAGCAGTACCTGTCAATCATCTCAATAAGCGTGGAGATCGCTCAGATGATCACGTGACATTCTGTGCCTGTCATTCTCGTCTTGGAATGTCCAGTAATCTGAGATGTGGGGCAGGTCGGGTGGGTATCCATCGCGTGAGATAGGATAAGTATATAAACATACAATTTATGGTTAAAATTTCCAAATTTTTAAACTTATCCTATCTCACGGTATGCATTATCCCACGGTTGGAGGCGGGCCGCAGATTACCCTGAGTGAATTCTACACAACCTACCCTGAGTGAATTCTACAACCGTGAGGTCGCAACACACAAAGAGGCCAGGAGGCCAGACTCCAAACTTGTGATGGGTTGCTTCTAGTGAAAACCCCTTCGCTTACACAACACAAAAAACTCAAGGGAGTGGGAGGTCCTGAATTAATGTGGTTTTCAGCCGCAACTTTTGACAAGCAAAAGGACGCAGTTTGGCAAGTGGACCCCACCTCCTCGCGATTTATCAAGTGACCCCAGTGAATTAAAGTTGAAGACCTTAATCTGGACAGTCCCTGCTTCAAAACTACCCCCACAGACACACGCTGGAAGGCGGTGAAAGAGGGAATAGCCCGGTTGCTCAACTGATTTAACGTTCAGTACCAATCCCCCTAGCTTACCAAGGGAAGGAAGGACTAGGAGCGGAACGCTTCGAAATCCACATAGGTAATCGGGAATCATCACTTCACTAACGTAATTGGTCATAGAGTATTGGTCAGTGAGGGGAGTGTCGACCACCTCTGCATGTAGCATAAGACTGGCCTTTCAGTCCATCGAGTCACAACTGTGACAGTGCAGATACGCCCTAGTTCCCTAGGTGAGGTGGCCTAAGCCCAAACGAAAAAAGTACCAAGAGATGGATAACATCGATACCTTTTATTTATGTACATAGAGCAAAACTGACGCGAGGAAGGATTGCTTCTCATCTGCGAGCTCGGGTCGATGACAGTTGCACTGGGTCGATGACAGCTAGGACCAGAGGACCGAACTGGTGCAGACCCTCCATGACCGTCCGTGACCGAGAGTGTGAGGCGAAAACTGTATCCGACTTCCAAAAACATCCCTCCATGATTGCCGAAAGGGAACAGTTCGTATGAAGCGCCTTGGTGGTAGATGGGCCCAAGTTTCATGAGGATTTGCCGTCGAAAGTGGAGGAAGGTCGGCATACGCATAAGCACGCAGGATAGTGGATCTCATCCAAAACCCTAAAGTGGTGCGAGAGACTTTCGAGGTAGAGGCAGTTGACAATGGGATGAAGAGTCTCTTGCACAACCTGCGTTGGTCCTTAGAGCAGCTAAGTAGATCCGCAATGCCCAATCTGGGCACAGGGAAAGATCTTCCGTGTCATCAGGACCCAAGATAGTGGACAGGGGTGGAATCGTGAATGTGCGGTCCAGCTGTCCTGGTAGTTGGTTCTTGGCGATGAAGTCCCACCTCAAACCAAGAAAGACTTTTGCATGTCTTGACCTCTCAAAACGCACCCGGGCGACGTCGAGGGCGTGTAACTCGGAAATGCGGGCAGCAGTGGCCAAAGCCAAGAGAAAGAAGGTCTTAAAAGTGACCTGTTCAAAGTCTTTCTCCTCCAAAGGTTCGTAGTCCGCTGACGTAAGATGATTAAGCACAACGGAAAGATCCCAAGATGGTGGTCGGAACTTCCGGGATTGGTCTGCAAGTTTAAAAGATCTGAGGAGAGACTTGAACTCAGGAACAGTCGACACCTTCACACCTGAGGCTGGCGCAATAACGGTGTTAAGAGCAGCCAGGTAAGTAGACAGATAGAACCCTTAAGCTTCCTGGAGGTTCGAAGATGTTGTAGGTACTCCGCCACCATCTGCGGCGAAACAGTAGTGGGAAAAGCTATACCCTTCGTCCTGCAGTACGCCTCAAAATTCTTCCACTTGTCATCATAGAGTCACCTAGTGGAGGTGCGATGCGCTGTAGTGAAGGCAGTAGCGACCCGCTTAGAATATCCCTTAGCAGTTAGCAACTTATGGAGATGCGCCAAATGTGAAGATGGAGTGTGAGCGGAGACCAATGCAGCTGATCGGAGTGCGGATGAACCAGATGATCGACCCGTTTGGGAAGTGGTACTGGATCGGCCAGTACTTGTAGATCTACACGAACCAACCTCTGGCCGGCCAATAGGGCGCAATCAAAAGCAGTGTCATCCGCTGAGTCATGTGCCATTTCAGTAGTATGCGTGGAAGTAGGGCCACTGGTGGAAACGCGTACACGTTTAGGTCGTCCCAAGGAATGGCTAGAGCGTCAAGACCCCGGGCAAGAGGGTCCGGAATCGGAGACACAAACAGAGGCAACAGGTGGCGAACAGATCCACTGTCGGAGTCGTCAGCGGAAGGCAGACCGTCTGGAACACCTGTGGATGTAGTTTCCACTCTGTCGGGGAGGGACAAATCGGACGGGACAGACAATCCGCAATCACGTTTTTTCACTCCTGAAACATCCTGGCTCGAATGGAGATGTTGAGAGTGTCCACCAACTGGAAGAACTGCTGTGTCCACTGCAGGAGTTGAGGAGACCCTGTTGACCCCATCCGGTTGATGTGCCACACTACTGCTGCATTGTCAGACCGGACCATGAGAAAGGTCAATTGTAGAATCTCTTGCCAGTGAGTGATGGAAAGAATCACCGCCCTCAGCTCTAGAATGTTGATGTGGTAAGCGCGATCTGCGAGAGACCACCGCCCGCCCTTGCTGATCGAGAAGGTGAGCCCCCCACCTGTGTAGAGATGCATCCACGTACAGGTGGTGAGTTAGGACAAACGGCCTTAAGCAGACTCAACCGCAGACGTTGGAGATGGGGATGGAGCGTCGGAGGTAATGTGATCAGTGAAAGTGGGTTGCCCACCCTGATGTGTGGAGCTAGGTTTAACTGCAAAGGTCGAAGCTGAAGTTGACCCCTGAGGGTAAACGCCTGAGCCGACGTCAAGAGACCCAGGAGCTCCTGCCATTAACGAAGAGTCCTTGGTTGAGACAACGCAAGGGGAATTAACCGCCAGATCTTGTAGAAATGGTCCCTCGGCACAAACAGTCTGTAGAGCTCTGTGTCGAACACCGCCCCGATAAACTGTAGGTGGCGTGAAGGGACTAGTTCTGACTTCTCCATGTTGACAAGCCAGCCTAACTGGTGAAGTAGCTGTGTCATGAACCCCATGTGACGGAGGAAGAGTGCACGGTCTGTCTGAGCCTGGATACAGTCGTCGATGTATGTTTAGAAAAGTATCCCATTGCAATGAAGGAAGCTGGTGATGGAGGCTTCGTCACCCGTGTAAACAGCCACGGGGCCGAGGAAATTCCAAATGGGAGAACACGGCACTGATAGTGGGTGCCCTCGAAGACGAAACGAAGAAACTTGCGATGGTCCGTGAAAATCGGGATGTGAAGGTAAGCATCTTGTAGGTCGAGGCTGACCATGTAATCCCCCGGTTTGATCATAGTCTTGAGTAAAGCTACCGACACCATCCGGAAATGAGGCGGTGGTTGTAGGAACATCTTCATTTTGAAGATGAGTCTCAATTTGTCGGAATCCTTCTTCGGAACCAGGAAAATTGGAGAGTAAACCCCTGGGTTGGCAGGAGTCGGATCCCAACTTTCTGAAGGAGCGTAGATATGGTGGATCGCAGCACAGTCGTTTGACGATCGGGATACGTCCCGTGCTCCGGAAATAATGTGAGAGGAGGGTTGCCGATGACCGGAAGTTGAAACCCCTAGGACAGAGTGGAGAGAATGTAAGGGTCGTCCAAGATGGTCCAACTGAGGGCATAAATCCCAAGTCTTCCGCCTACTGGGGAAGCCTTGATAGGTACGATTGGAGGCGGAAGGACCCAATCGTGCTCTGATGTCTGCAAGTCACTGCTTTTCGGTCTTCTGATTGGAGGACTGATCGGAAGCGGAAGCTGGTCTAGCAGAAGTGATCGACTGGCGCTGACGGTTGGAACACCCTCTGGTCGAACCTCTTCCTCGAAAGGAAGTAGGAGGTCCCGAACGAAGGTCTGGGTTGGTCGGCACATGGCATGCTGGCCGCCGTTGACACAACGAATCTTCTACTTGTAACTGTTGAAATTTCAATAGCTCCACAGAGACCTGAAAATTACCAACCTTGGTGGCTATATCTCGTATAGCCCCATTGCTGATCTCCCAAAAGCACGATGTCATCATCCACAGAAGGAGAGACAATCAACATAGAAAACACATGAACATGGGAAGACGCCAAGTTAAAGCGGGGGTGCCGCAAACCCATCCTTGACTTTCCTTAAGTTGTCAAATGCCTCCTCAAGGGAAGCCGAAGTTGAGTAATGCAGGGACGAGGTGGAAAAGTGATAGAACTGAAATCACCCAGTTTCATATCAAAGCTAGTCAACAAGTCCGAAGGTGACCGGCCACGAGGCAGTTGAAGGTTATCAGCAATCCAAACCAGTAACAGTCTAGGATGGCGCTGGGGCTTGCTGACGTAAAGCCGAGGCCACAGCTTGAACGATGGCATCAAAATCAAGCGGTTGAGATGCAGAACCCTCAGGCAACGAATCCCAGGAAACCAGTAAAATAGGCCTGGCCGAGGTGATAGATGTAGTCCCCGAAGTAGGAGGCAAAGTAGAACCAAAGGTTGGCATGGGTGGATGACCTGGCAACGGTGGCAACGTTGAACCAAGAGAAAGCGGCACACTGGAAGACTGTGGTACACTGGAAGTAAGAGTCGCACTGGGAACAAGCAATGCACCGGGAACAACATATGGCACACTGACAGTAAGTGCCGAACCAGGAGCAAACAGTGCACTGGAAGCAAGCGACACTCTAACAGGAAGCGGTGAACAAGCGGCGCTCTGACAGTAAGCGCCAAACCGGTGTAACAAGCCAGGGTATACCCCTGTCCCAGACTATACCGGGGGTTAAACTGGGCTAGCCCAGACTATAACCCAGGTATAATCTGGGCTAGCCTAGTTTATACCCTGGGGTATATTCTGAACTAGGCCATAGTATACCCCCCTAGCCCAGATTATACCCCTACAGAAAACAAGTGATTAAGGATACTACTATAATTTTATTGTACTTCTCACACAATTAAACACTGGTTACAACATTGAAATGGTCCGATACATTTTCCAGATACAAAGCATAATCAGTGTGAGTTTTCAAGCTGAAGCTGGCAGGGTACATCAGCCATTGCATTGACTGACCAACTGTACTGTAAATATAAATGTCACATTTTAACAGACTGGCTGTTGACATAACTTCTGCATCTGTTTCCCACACTCCATCTTGTGAAATTCCCGAATTAGTGATGTACTCATTGACATTTGGGTTCAGGAAATGTTTTAGTTCATCATTAATGTCATTGTTCATATGCTGAATCACTCGATCTCGGATAGTGCTGTGACTGTCTTCGGATCCTGTCAGGCTGTAACTGATGCAGCGGAAGTAGCAGTTGCCGTCGCCTTTGGTTCCGTATGTCCGACGGGGTGCTGTCAAGTCTTTTGATCTTCCGTAATAAATGTCCTTTGAAGAGTTCAGGCCTCATGCAGCAGCCAAATTCCTTCGAGCATTTTTGGGGATAGGGTTGAACAAACGGGTTGACTTGATTTGTTTGGTAGTAAGGTCTGTATGGTTGCCTGACTCCAGTTCATCTCTGAGTCTTTTCCGTTGCTTCGAATCACTGGGGCTTTCGGCGTTGTCGTTAGTGGGTGGGTCATTGGAGTAGATTTTGAGGTTACTGGCGTGGTACAGCCCCTTCTCACACCGGTTATCTCCCATTAGTTAGACAGCCAGTTGTTAGACAGTGGAGTAGGGTATTAATTAAGACAACACCCACCTCCATAATGGTACAGCTCTAATTAGATTGATGAGTAGAGTGAGTTGTACTACCCCCGTTGCCGAAATACCTTAGTTGTGTGTGCTACGCTGAATAAAGCAAATAACTAACTACTAACCTTGATATATCAGCATGGCTGGGTTACGCAAAGTCGAAAATATCATATTGCAGAGAGGCACTCAACAAATACTTAATAAATTTTGTATTATGCAGTAATGTAAATGAAATGCACCTACAAATTCCTTTAAATGACACCAAGACCATTGCCCGAGTCACACACTCATATTGAGTGAATTGTCAACATAATTTTTTAGGGGTATAGTCTGGGCTGGAGGGGTATACTTTGGCCTGGTCCAGAATATACCCCCGGGGTATAAACTGGGCTAGCCTATAGTTTAACCCGGGGTATAATCTGGTGGGGGGTTATTCTGGGCTGCTACACCGGGACCAAGCGGCATATTGGAAACAAGTGGCGCTCCGACAGTAAGCGCTGAACCGGGACCAAGCAGAGCATTAGAAGCAAGCGGCACTCAGACAGTAAATGCCGAACCGGGATCAAGTAGCACATAGGAAGTAAGTGGCGTTCTGACAGTAAGCGCCGAACCGGGAGCAAGCGGTGTATTGGAAGCAAGCGGCGCTCTGACAGTAAGCGCCAAACCAGGAGCTAGTGGTGTATTGGAAGCAAGCGGCGCTCTGAAAGTAAACGCCGAACCCGGAGCAAGTGGTGCACTGGAAATAGACGATGGTCCACAGACAGGTGGGATGGCATACGAGTCAGATGTAGAAAGCGCCGCACTGGAAGTCATTGCCATACTTGTAGACATCACAGGAGGGTATGAAAGCGCTGAACCGAACAAAGCGCCGAACTGGACACAAGAGGCGCATAGGTAGAAAGCGTAGAGCCAATCACCATGCTGGAAAGCGCCGAACAGAACGTTATCGCCGCTTGAGTGTGAATGCTGGCCATCAATCCAAGCGCCGCACTGGAAACAATCGTCGTAGGATCACCAGGGTTCTGAGAAATCGTCACCAGGGTAGACGGACAAGACTGGGCAGAAGAAGTAGTTAAACTACAACTCTTGGACTGGACGTCTCCGGACGAAATAAACGCCGGAGATTCTCACTCAGAAGCATCATCTACAAATTCTTCATTTGGAGGTGGGGACTTAGACCGGCAAACAGGTGTTTTCGTATGATGTTCAGATTTCGAAAGTTTAGATCAGGAAGGACCCCCCGAGGGTTTACGGCGATCCCTGACAGCCAAACTTTGGGAAGCCACCCGGCGACATAACGAAAAAGCATCATCATCAAGTTTCTCACAATAAGTACAACGGTGCGACCAGTCTCAACGTCCCAAACAATCCACACACAACGCATGTGGGTCCACACCAGAAAAGTTACTATTACACCTGTCGCAATATTTGCGTTTATTGGAAGCACTGCGACAAGATTTACCCATATTGAACACAGTCAAAATCTCACTAAGAATCAGCACATGTCCACACGACGTAGCGACAAGAAAGAGAATGACAGGCACAGAATGTCACGTGATCATCTGAGCGATCTGCACGCTTATTGAGATGGTTGACAGGTACTGCTATCGGAGTGGGGACAGAGGTCAGGTGGTCAGAGGCCAGGAAGTTTTGATTCAACTTAGCCTACAGCACGTTTCCACGCATGGTCGTAGAAGAAGAAGAGAGGTGCATACCGTGAGATAAGATAAGTTTAAAAATATAATGTTTTGTGACATGCAGTCTGTACTTACTCTGTAGCAAAGTTGACAGTGTTGAGAGGTGGAGAGAAGACTCGTGGTCGCATCTCTATCTGTGTGGGAGTGTCCGACCACAGAGTCACCCATCTGTATTCAGAAAACTCATTACAAACACATGAAACATTGGAAGCATATATATCCTGAGAGCTCTTTAACACTTGCAGGTTCATAACACTACTTCATAGTTAGTTAAGTTGTGGGTGTGGTAAGCTGAAATTTATGTAAACATTGACCACTTTGAGAAAATTCATGGTGAAAAATAGACCAAGAATCCCAGCTGTTATATCTGGAAAATGACAGGACAAACAGCAGATTCTCAAGATACGACTCTCATGGCTTCTGACAGATGGTCTACCCATTCTGAGTTTCATTCAAAGACATTCTCTGATGTCTCAATTTATACAAGACAAGAGCCATAGAATGACCATGAGTACTGCTGTCTTTCTATATACTGCTGCATCTTCCTGAACCAGGAGTGTCCAGCAACCTGTATCATCAGGGGCATCAAAACTAAAGTATGACAACACATGTTGTCTTTCTATATACTGCTGCATCTTCCTGAACCAGGAGTGTCCAGCAACCTGTATCATCAGGGGCATAAAAACTAAAGCGGCCTTCACACAGCAAACTAAAGTATGACAACACATGTTGTCTTTCTATATACTGCTGCATCTTCCTGAACCAGGAGTGTCCAGCAACCTGTATCATCAGGGGCATCAAAACTAAAGTGGCCTTCACACGGCAAACTAAAGTATGACAACACATGTTGTCTTTCTATATACTGCTGCATCTTCCTGAACCAGGAGTGTCCAGCAACCTGTATCATCAGGGGCATAAAATCTAAAGTGGGCTTCACACGGCAAACTAAAGTATGACAACACATGTTGTCTTTCTATATACTGCTGCATCTTCCTGAACCAGGAGTGTCCAGCAACCTGTATCATCAGGGGCATCAAAACTAAAGTGGCCTTCACACGGCAAACTAAAGTATGACAACACATGTTGTCTTTCTATATACTGCTGCATCTTCCTGAACCAGGAGTGTCCAGCAACCTGTATCATCAGAGGCATAAAAACTAAAACACATATATTTTTGTGAAGGGTTATGAAAAAAGACATTTCTTTTATAAAATATAAAGAGCTTTTGCACTTGGTCAAGGACAAGGACATGGGAGGGTCATCCAAAAATAGTACCAGCATTCAGGAAAGGTAAGTATTTTCAGTACATATGTGTATAAAATTAAAAACACATACACACATAAGTTTGCAATTATTTCAATGCTGAAGGTGTTGTCTTTGTAAAACATTCTCCCACTGGACTAATACATCTAATACCTGCAACAGATCTCTCCAGACTATGCCTGTTTCAGCAGGAGCAGGAGAGGAGCAGGCTTGAAATGGCAAGATGAAAACTAGACTTGACATGGGCTAGGGGACACTCCTGCCTCAAAAATTTGTTGCAAAAGAGAATATACAATGTCTTTGGACTCATGCTTGATGGATCAATATCGATATGTTGTACACTCTAAAATAATCTATATTTTGAATCTCAAGACTCATGTTTGCATACTCATAGCTCTGAGATGTGAAAGAGAAAAGAACCATTGTCATAGTTACGTGACTTTTCCCGTGTCTACATCAGTACCAGCTGTTGTATCACATGCCATTATCTTGACCACTGCTCCAGGATGGTAGGTCTCGTACACATCCAGTCGAATCGGATACACTTTCTGCTCAAATGATAATTCTGAAACAGCATATGACTAAAACTTAAAGGTGACCACTCAGAGGCCTAGATAGGCTGCGTATCTGGGTAAAATACGCATAGAATTACTCATTGAAAAATAATTGTTGTGTACCAATTACACATTTAAAATGTTAGATATGCAAAAAGTTTAAAACAAATGCGTACGGAATATATTTATCAAAATCGCTTGCGTAATGAAAAAGACATCGATTGCTATCAAGTTGTACTGTTAGTATAGGACAAGTGTTGTAATGTCAGTATAGAATAAGTGATTTTTTATGAAATAATTTCCATTATATTTAAGTTGGTTTTGATTAGGTATGACATAAGGCAGAACATACCTGCTTAGTAAACTTACTCAATGACATAATACTTAGGTGAGTAAAATGACTGAAATACGCACATATTTGAAAGCAGTGGGTAACGGAAAATGAAATACCCACTCAACATTCATATAATACCCACTCCAAAAAAATACAGTGGGTATAGTACCCACATGAGCTAAATCTTATCTGGACCTCTGGGTCACTGAGTGGTACTGAAAGACTTCAAGACATTAAGCATCAGGTCACCTAAATACATAACATCCATGCAGACCAATCTCTAAAAGACGATATAGTTAGTTAGGATGCCCCTTCTACCAAAACATTACAATAAGATTTAAACCTTTTATTGAAAAATCAGTGCAGCTTAACTTGTTGATATCTTGTACCAATAATATAATTTGTACAATCTCTTACCTATGAAATCCATACTGCAGTACGCTCTTCGTGTCTTCTTGTACACTCTACAGGCAGATGGAGCCTGGCGCCACCAAGGGCCATATGTCCTCTGTATGGGAAATAATTAGAATAAAAAGCCTGCTGTTCATAACATCCTCAGATTATGTAGATGTTTAAGTGATTGTATTTCGTGAATAAGGTTTTATGCCACTTTTAGCAGTATTCTAGCACTATCATGGCATTGTACCCATGTGGGGAATCAAAACAAGGTCTTCTGCATGATGTGCTTTAACCAATAGGCTTCCCCGCCACCCCTTAGTATACTGGAAACAGGTAGGTATCAATGTACTTATCACTTGTCCTCTATCTTAAAACATTTTGGCTGGATTTTCTGATTTGATTATACCCGAAAGTTAAATTCTGTAGGGAAAATGGAAATGGGCTGTGTCAGTCCATCAGATTTTTTTCCAGAGCTTAGCTCCTGCAGTCTTAAATATTTCCTCATGAAATGTTTGAACTGGCATGCAATGAGCTTGTGTTTTGCTATGTAGGATTTTTTGCACATATTTTAACATAGGACTAAAGATATACCCCTCTAGCGGTTTCCTGGTTTGAAGAGGTCCCTTGCAAACTATAGCATGTATACTAGTTGTTTTGGGAAACAAAACTGATCTGGTAATCAGACTCAGATTGCATGTGATGCTAACCTGATCATGCTGATGGCATTGATTGTTGCTGAAAATATCAACCACTGGATTGTCTGGTCCAGACTTGATTTAATTATTGAAAGGTTTGCATTACATAGCTGGAATATTGCTGAGGGTGGTGTTAAAAACAAAATAAGCAAACAGTCATATGGTCCTTGGTTTCAATTAGATATTTCACTGGTCACTTTTGACAAACCACTTCTGACAGAATGGACCGTTCTAAATCAGCTGGTCTGGTTTGACAGGCACATATTCATTCACACCAACACGGCTAAGATCTTGTTTGCTTCTGACATGTCTAATCATTTCGTCTGTTAAAATCGATTTGTGGAACAGATACGAAACTGGAAACATTAGCTCAAAGTAGCTGACATAGTTTCATGGAGACAGGTAACTGTGTAGTGTATCAGCTGACGACTTACAAACACGCACGCTTGAGTAAAATCTCCATAGCCCGGGTAAATATTTGATTTCCCTGACAAGTTACAAGCAGTGTAGGAAATGCTTGTTTCACTTCCGTACTGAGAACTGAAATCAACAACATCTTTGGCGTAGTGTTGAATAACGTTTAAATCTTGCAGGTGTTTGAGAGGATCGTCTTGTTTTGACGCCATGTTGTAAACGGAAGTAAACAATGCGTAAAAATAAAATATTTAGTTTCGTATTAAACATTAAAATCGCAAAACAAAACGTAATACCACTGACGATTATTGTATTTAACATAATTCTATCAGCAATGTTTTGAGAATCGTTAAAACTTTAAAAGAAAGATTTGCTGTTTTTCACATCGACAAATTTGGTTCAAGAAGTAAAGTTCAAAGGTTGGCTCTGCTTATCTAGCTCAAAGTTCACTTTCTAGCAGACAGGTGCTTGTTGAAAGTTACCGGAGCTGCATTCAACTTCTGTGCTTTGACAAACCGAAGTGACAGCCATACAAAATGGTTGACTATAAAGTAGTTGGGTCTGTTGCATTTCTGGAAGTCAACAATCCTCCAGTCAATGCGTTGAGGTTTGTGATTTTCGATCCACCATTTCAGAATTTGCTGCAATTAAGATATAAAAAATGCTTACTCATTCAATGTGTGTGTTCAGCATGAGCGTTTTGTTTTTAACAAATTTCAGAGACACCAGTGAGACCTAAAGTTGTCAGTTCTCTATTCCTGTGATATCAGATTTGTATGCATCATGTCTTTGGATTCATTTTGCGAGTTGTTTATATCGAATCGACCAGAGTTGGGTTTTTTAAGAATAGAGAAAAATATGACATTCTTGACCTATGCAAATTCAAACAACAACATTTCAATTCAGATCTGCACCATTAACTCTGCATGTGGTACAAACATATTTCTGTACGTTGTAAACACCAGATATATGTCAATATGTTTAATACTTGTATATATAGTTAATGGTCATGTATGATATTTCCCCAGTTTTGAATATATGTGGGATCTCTCAGTAAATGCATTACAAAGGTTCTGCTTATTCTTACCTCCAGTAGGATTAATAAATGATTTTCGTCAAGATTCATCTTAAAATTGCACACAAGCTTTAGAATTGTTTTGCATATGACGTGTTACAACTGTGGTAATATAAACAAAAATTGTATGTATATTTTCTACCAGAACAGTGTTGATCAATCTGCAACTGTAATACCCTTTGAACCATTTAACGTTCAAAGATGATGCTATACGACTTACACACACACACACACACACACACACACACACACACACACACACACACACACACACACACACACACACACTTCTCCAGCTGTAGCTGCACTCAAATCTGTGTGATCTACATAATGTCAATAAAATCTAAGTATTAATGTTGCAATGTGGAATTATAAAGTATATGGTCACAATGGAGATGTATTGTGATTTAACCTTATCTCCTAATTCTTGTTTGATATATTTCTTGTGATTGTTTGTCATAAGAGGGCCATTATCAAAGCTTCAAATTGAGCTTTTCTTTCTAACTGATTTGAAAAAACCCCTGAATCATACAACCCTTTTGAGATGGCAGGGAAACTTTAGCTTGGTCTAATTTTATAAGTTACATCTTTTCCTTCAGATTTATCTAGTCATTCAGGACATGATGCAATAAAATTTAGTTTGACTCTTTGGTTGATCTTCTGTTAAGGTTAGTACAGATTGTTAAAAATAAGTTTCTGATATGCATGTAAAAATAGATATTTTGTTGTCAACAGTCTTTCAGTGAGGGTTGGCTTTGTAGAAGGCATCGAGCGGGCCAACAAGGATAAAGCTGTTAAGGCCATCATCATTATTGGATCAGGATCCACCTTCATATCGGGAGCAGATATCAAGGAATTTGGGAAGCCTATGCGAGGTATTGTCATGCATGGGAGATAACTTCTTTAGTTCATAGTAGGATGACTTGAAACTTCACCAACACTGAAAAGGAGTACTGATGTACATTGGAAATGAAGGGCCAGTTCTTTCAGACCAGACTTGAATTCTGATTATGATTCAAATTTAGATGTGTGTTATGCTTTTTTTAAGAGAAAAAAACAAGACTTTTTTCAATATGGGTGAACAGAATCAAGTAAAATGTTCAATACGTTTTAGACAAAAATGTCAATCACTATCACAATAAATATAAATACAAAAAGTACTACATGATGATTATAAGTTGTTGAAAGTTGATCTTCAAAACTCCAAATTACAAAATTAGGATGAATACCTTTTCCTTCATCCCTATTTATTTTTTCCATGTCAAAATGAAAAATTTGCATTTGCAAAAGAGGTGTTTTATATGTATCTTTTTCAACCCATAAGTCTTTTTTCCCTAAATCCGTTAAAAAGTCTTTAAATGGCATTAAGAACTGATACATAGAGAATACCACACAAAGTCTCATTACATACGAATTATACGAAACGAGTGTCCTTCCTATGGTATCTGACCGAGCGAAAGCCAGGTCAGAAACCATATGAAGGTCACAAGTTTCGTATAATTGACTCTAGTGCTTTATTAAAAATTCTGTCTATTTCCTGAATGGGCACCACTCTCTCTCCCCTGCTGCCAGGTGATGAGATATCTCCCTTCATGTATGTTTGTGTTTACAGGGCCGGGCCTTGTTGAAGTGGGGGAACGCATTGAGACCAGTGAGAAACCTGTTATTGCTGGTATCCATGGCAATGCCTTAGGTGGAGGACTTGAAATAGCCCTGTTTTCACATTACAGGATTGCATTGAAAAATGCAAGGTGAGCTAAGCTTGTGCTTAATTAAAAATGAGATCCTTTGTATTTTATAATTTGATAATATTTTTAATGGTTTTTTTTGTCATATTATATGAGAGTCAATGTATGTACCACATTTGTTAAGTTTGAAAATAGGCATATGAAAAAAAGGCTGTTTCCACCTTTGGACTAAGCTTCTCCATTACTTGAATATATTATATACTGGACAAAAATAGTTAGGGATATATGTAAATTTTGAAATTATGAATACTGATCTATGTATTCATTGACACACGGATAAAATATCAATTGTAAACATACCAATATCCCTAACTTATTTTGTCCAGTATATGTTTGTTGTAAAATAATTACCTACATTAGAAGACCATTTGCATGTTTTAATAGTCTCATTCCAAAAGTTATGTTCCAACCCCATGGGGATGCCATCCAAATGTTTGAGTCAATCATTGTCAGTAATTGGTATTAGGCTGTATTTTTGCACAACAGCATTTTAAATACATGGAACAGAGCGAGAGTTGTTCGGACATCTAGTTATTTTTTAGCTTAGTATGAATAAGCTGTCATAGCGAATGGGTCAAGGTATATATTGTAACAGAATATGGATATATAAACTGGATAATGGGTGTCCACATCTTAAGTCCTATCCAGATTTGCATTTTATGTCTGATTTTGTAGAAAACATCTGATTCCTCTGGATTTTCACTATTCAGTGACCAACGGACTAGGGGCAAACCTCTGATAACCGAAGATTAGATAATCCCAGTATTTGTTCTGGCCATCCAGTATCACAATTTATCAGTCAGACCAGCCGTTGGTCGGTTTGTTCTTTAATGCTGCACTCAGCAGTATTCCAGCTGTATGGCGGTGGTCTGTAAATAATCAGATCTGCACTAGACAATCCTGTGATCAACAGCATGATCATTGATCTAGGTAATTGGGATGCGCTGACATGTTTCAACCAAGTCAGTGAGCCTGATCACCCGATCCCCTTGGGTTGCTGAAGACCAATTCTAACTTGGATCTTCATGGGTCAAATTGGGGATGTATGTGAATACAATCAATAAGTTGTAGTAATATCACAAGGGGTATATATGTTTATATACATCCTTTGTTGTTTTATATCAGTCTGATGCAAGTGGAATTGCCTCTTACGATAAGCATGGGGTACTGAAGACCAATTCTAACCTGGATCTTCACAGGTCTCAGACCAGTGGATAGATATGGTTATAAAACAACACTGATGTATTGTTCAGTGAAATGGGTCTGTGATTTAAAAGCTGAAACAATAACAGAAGAAACATGACTTTTTCAGAGTGGGGTTTCCTGAAGTTCTCATAGGAATACTACCAGGAGCTGCCGGAACACAGAGGTTGCCAAGGGTTACCACAGTGCCAGTTGCCATGGATTTGATAGCAAGTGGACGACATGTTGCAGCACCAGAAGCCTTGAAATATGGCATTTTAGATTGGGTAAGCTGTGATATCATCTGTAGAATAAGCTCCTGATAACCTGTGATATTGTGCAGTAAATATGTGGGCTGACATTAGGCCTTATAGTTGTACAGTCGAGCACCGTTGTGTCGAACTCTGATAACTCAATATCTCAGTTGTCTCGATATAACATCATGGTCCCGGCAAAATCCTTCATAATTTATCATTATGCAATCTCTTCCAACTCGATACGGATGTCTTGATATTTCGGATATTGTGATATTATTTCATGGTTCCAACAAGCAAACTTACCCTTTTATCTCGATATTTGCAAAGAAACTCGATATTCACCTACCTTTCATGGGCAAGTATCCCTCTGAACTAGATTGTTTGCTCACGGTGTGGCAAGAATCAAAGTGATGCGGTAGTGTAAACCAATTAGGGCTAATTGATTGAAGGTGTCACTTGTTTGTTATTTAATTAGGATTAATTAAGAAGGAATTAATTAGGAAGTACTCACTGTTACGACTAAACACTACTGATAATGGATTATAGTTTCGAATCAAAACATAGTGAGAAGTGATTTGTTTTCTTTTATAGCGTGTCTTACTGAAACGTCGACCCCTAGGGTTGAGGGTAAAAATCCTTTGATGTGATATGTTGTTTTAGCGTTGGTGTTTCAAGGGATTAAAGTCTGGGTGTCACCCAAAGTTGAACTCAGGTGCGAAAAGTTATCACCAATTTAAGTATGAAATTTGTTCACCTACTGGAATATTATTATTCAATGCCACTTATTAGTGAGTTCACTCAATGCCACTAATTAATCCAATCATATCACACATATAAGGCAGCATGACGTATATGGGTCATTCTCACAAAAGGTGACTTTTCTTTTGCAATTGAAATCACAACCATTATACAATGTTTATCGGTAATTCTTTTTGCAAAATATATCAAACTAATTATTACCTACAAAACCACAGCATAATATCTAATTTTCTGCAATATTTTTTGGTAAAAACATTACATTCTAGTGCCCAAAATTGACCAAATATTCCTGTGCATTTGTACATCAAGAAATCTGTTCAATAGAATTTTTAATAATAACTCAGAATTTACCCCATAAATTAACCATTGATTGAAGGTACAACATCTCACTGGAGAAAATTTGAAACATGGTTATAAATTTTAAAAAAATTAAGAATAAAGAACTGCAGATGCAGTACCAGGCAGGACAGAAGCTCCTGCCGAAAAAGGCCAATTACCAGAACATTGAGATTTGTGTCCAGCAGCTGAGCTCATGAATATCAAGACAACGGTGCTCGACTGTATTTTGATTAGTGTACTGGACCAGTCAGCCCAGAAAATCAGAATCTGAAAAAATATGATGACTTTTGCTAATGATATTTTTATCTGACTTTCTTTTACATTGGTGTGATTTAAAAAAAACATGAATTAATCCCCACTGTTCAAAAGAAATGATAAGTCATGTGTATAAAACTGTTTATTCTTTTGGTGTCTTGCGATTTAGAAGTTTGTATATTTGTCACCATTAGTAGCAATACTAATCAAGTGAAAAAAATTCAAATATTTTTCCGAATACCGGAATTGAATTTTAGGCCAAATCTTTGGTAATCCATAAACATTAAATGCCTGAAGATCCTTTACAATAACATTATATCAATAATTCTTGCTACTTCTGCTTTTATGTAACACTTACTCAGTTATTGATTTCATCTTCTGTATTCTTTCAATGCAACATTTATTAACAGATTCTTGTACTAGTATTTACCAAGTGATCAACAACCATCACTGTTAGATCGCTTGCATGTGTTAGGGCCTGGATTTGTTTTTACCCTAACTGTTGCAGGTTGTTGAAAAGGATCTTCCTTCAGAGTGCATAAAGCTGGCTTACAACATCATCGGCAAACCACTCCATGATCGTAGGCTACGTAACAGGCCAGTGACACCTGTGGAGAACTTTGCTGCTGTCTATGATGGTAATGCATAATGCTCTTAAGTTCAGTTTCCTACCCGCAGATCCAGGTTAGAATTGGTCTTTGGCAACCCATGCTTGTCATAAAAGGCAACTAACATGATCGGATTGTCAGGCTCGCTGACTTGGTTGACATATGTCATTGTATCCCAATTGTGTAGAAATGCTCATGCTGTTGGTCACTGGATTGTCAGGTCCAGACTCGATTATTTATACTGCCACCATATAGCTGGAATATTGCTGTTGCAGCCTGAGTAGACTTAGGCTCAGTAGATTACTAGGGTTTGTTAGACTCAGTATAGCAGTGTAATGAATAATACTGAGCCTAAGTTTACTTAGACTGATTGATGTTGTTAAGTAACAAACAAAGAGTTCAGTTTCCAGACTAATCAACAAGGACAAGTGTAAACCTTATTTCAGTGGTCTGCAGAGGTTGTTGCAAGTCCTGTTTAAACATGACAGAAATTATTACTGTGATTAATGGCAGTTGTATTTAATTTCATTTGGGAGCAAATTATAAATAGGACCTTTACACTTCCAATATTTGCAACATTTGGGGCTAAAGATTTCAATATATTCATATTCAGCAAACGTAGTGTTTGATTGGCATTCTAGAAGTTTGTGAGTCAATAACAAGGCATCATCTCTGTTGCATAGAGCAACATTTGGGTGCAGATTCTTACATCTTTTATAATATTTATTCATAAGAAACTGCACTGAGACATTGTTTTATATAATAAACAATAAGTTATCCATAAAATTGTATGCATTGTTATTCAGTAAACGTTTAATGTATCAAGTGTATGTATAAGAATTGTTACAGCATTTTTATCAGTTTATAAGAATTAGTGATTATTTTAAAGTTTTTAGGTTTTATTATTGTGATGTATATCAGCTTGATGTCAGAGGTTTGTGCAGGCCTTGAAGATTTAGGCCAGATCAATTTTATTTCTTGTTTTACAGGATTTTTGTCCTCAGAAAACCTAAAGGCAGGAGGGGAAAAAAATCACCCGTTAAAGAAATATTCCTTTTAAATGCTAAAAGTATTTTACTTTTGGCAATTTACGAAGTTTATATGAGGCAAAAAACAATCTAAAAAATATTTTTTGTAAGTTTACATTTTGGCCCATAAAACATTAGGATTTTATTTTGTAAAAAATATGACCATCAGATCCGTAAAGCAAGAAATAAAATTGGTCTGGCCTTATAGAGAAATACAAGAAAAGATCACACCATGAATTAAATGGAAGGTGAATTAGGGTCTGCACCTACAGTAATACAATTCCTGCTCACCAAAGGGCCACAACTCTGTAGACAAATAGTGACACCTTACAGTGGGTGAGTGAGTATGGCTTTATGCTGCAATATCACCGCATGAGATGCCAGAAATGGGCCTCACACATTGTACCCATGTAGGCACACCATAGAGAACTAAGCAAGTTGTAATGTAAAATTAATGAGCAGAAGTTGAAAATTTGGTTTGGCCTTTTAAATTTCAGCTGTGCGTTTTAGTGCCACTTATAAGTGAGTTGTTGGCTTTTAGAAATATTCCAGCAAAATTCTGATGTGGAGACCCAAATGGGCTTAACACTTTGTACCCATCGACCTGGTGAACACTTTAACCTCTCGGCTAGTCCTCTGCTTCTCCATAGGTAGTCAGTGGGTTAGTAAAACCATGTTGATTGGGAAATACTCCTAGCTTTCTGTTACAGCTGCACTGGCGAAGGTGACAAGACGATCCAAAGGCTTCATAGCGCCAGTGGTAGGTATTCTACTAACAAAGTGGAATGATTGATCAGAGAGTGAGTGAGTTCACATAAATGATCTGGATATATACTAAAAGTGTAAGTTGCTGACATTCAGTGTGTCAGCGATATATCCAACTATTTCTAAAAATGTTACTGCTGACATTCAGTTGTATTATCCAGTTTATAGACAAGAACTGTAAAAATGCCAAAGTATTGTAGATAGTATGCATAACAATTGATAGTTTTAACAGTTGAAATTATCTGTGTGTAAAACATACATTATACTGCTGAAAACATAGTTTTACAGTCAAATTTCAAACATGGGTGTAGGAGCGGTGGGGTAGCCTAATGGTTAAAGCGTTGGCTCGTCACGCCAAAGACCCGGGTTCGAATCCCAACATGGGCACAATGTGTGAAGCCCATTTCTGGTGTTCCCCGCCGTGATGTTGCTGGAATATTGCTAAAAGCGGCGTAAAACCAAACTCAGTCAGTCAAACATGGGTGTTGTTGATTTGCTGGGATGATGGCAGCTTTGGGACATTTTGATTTGAGTTGACAGAGAGACTTTGATTCTGGCTTGAACCATCTCTGTTACATAGATTAATATCACATCAACCTTTACATTAAGTTAAATACTATCATAATACTATTCAATAGTGTTGGAGGCTATTACAATACAATCATGATAATTAAAGTAGACCCAATAGTCCGACCTAGCTGACATTGTAAAATCTAGTGATCACCGCCTCCGTGGTGTAGTGGTTAAGATAGTCCATCTTAAGGGTCCAGGTTAGAATTGGTCTTCAGCAACACATGCTTGTCAAGGTGACACCGCCTCCGTTGTAGTGGTTCGTCCGCCCGGAGAGCGGAAGGTCACGGGTTCGATCCCCGACCGCGTCATACCAAAAGACGTTAAAATATGGTACTTGTTGGTCTCTGTCTGGTGCTTGGCATTAATGGGTACAACAAGGACTGGTCGGCTCGGAGTCAGTATAATGTGTCCGAGTGGGGTATTCATGCTTCACTGCGGCATGGTATCTCAGTGGGCTAGCATTATAAAACCAGCTTCAGTCTGGGCTAGTACAAGCAGCCGCACATACACATACATATACACACGCATGCACGCATGCATATGAGCAAAATATTCTCAAATATTCTCAAGCACAGTTTCAAGACCCAGTTTCACCTCACCTCACCTCACCTCACCTCACCTCACCTCACCTCACCTCATAACAGGTGACAAACGGGATCGGGTGGTGGGAGTCACTGACTTGGCTGACACATTTCATCATATCCTGAATGTGTGTATCAATGCCAATGATGTCAGTCACTGAATTGTCTGATCCAGAGTAGACTATTCACAGACCACTGTCACAATCTGATGAGTCACAATCACATATATACAATCAATCTATGTTAAGATGGTCCAAGAATAACCATTTCAATCCAGAAATGTTTACAAGCTGTAAAGGCGGCAGTAACAGCAGAAAGCTACGCAGCAGGGTTGAAAGAAGAAGGAAGACTCTTCATGGACCTGATGAAATCTGGGCAAGCTCGAGCACTGCAGTATGCATTCTTTGCCGAGAGAGCAACAGCAAGGGTAAATAATTTGAATATAAAATATTGGTTGTCAAGTATTGTACTTTTGAAAGAGTTGTAGTTTAATGACCTAACTGATGCTGTCTGTCTGTTAGGTAGGGGTCACTGTACATTCTAATGTGCTAAGGGTTCTTATGATCTTATGCACCAAATTCATGTTGACTATTTGAGACAGGGAAGTCATCCACTGTGTAAATAGTTTAGAGTACATCTCACAACTGCATGCATATTAACTGTTCTTTGTTAGCAGAATTCACATTACTAGTGCTGTAATGAATAATCGAACTATCGATGGATTGCAATTGTTGAATCTCCGATAGCAATTAATCGATGGAAGAAACGAAAAACTATCGATGCATCGATAGTATGTGTGACTTATCAATAGTTTAGTAATTGACTTCCGTTGATAAAATGCAGCGCAAAATACAGGAAGTAACTTTGATTTAGAGTTATCCACCCCTGTTACCTCTTAAACAAACATAGCAGCAAACACAGCATGCAACTCAGAGTTTGAAATTGTGAATAACAATAAGTTTATGTTCTAACTGTTTACTTGGTCTGGGTTTCAAGTTTCTTGTCAGTTATTAAAAGAGACTGAAACTACTTCAACTTGTTGTTATTTCATATAAACTGTACATTCATTTGGGAAATGACTTCAAATGAGACAATTCAAGGTGAAAAAAAATATATATTGTTTATCTGTGTTTGTAGTGGCAGCTCCCCACTGGAGAAAACTATAAGACGTGTAAACCTCTCCCCATAAAGACCATCGGCGTGATTGGCGCAGGCACCATGGGTAGCGGCATCGCAGTGACAGCATTGAGGGCAGGGCTGTCTGTGACATTGGTGGAACAAGAGAGGAAGGTTAGGCTAGGGATAAAGTCATGCAGTGTCTGTTTTGTCTGTTTTCAGGCTAGATGGCAACATTTGTTTTAAAGTAGTGGAAAGTTTTAGCTCGCCTAGCGTCAATGACTATTTGGGCTTTTGTCTTCTGTCATTGTCAAGGATTTTTTTCAGCCATATTTTGAAAGGCTTCATGGATTCATTTGAAAATTTGTCTGTTTGTCAAAACAGAATGTTCAAATTTGTTCAATTCTTCAATGTAGGAATTTCAGCATGGCCATCATGTAACCATCTTTGATTTGAGAACATAAGATGGAAAAATGCTTCTCAGAAGGTTAAAGGACCAGAAATTAATGACAGGACCGTGTGGGCAGACACTCTGAATTGGTTGATGCATGCATCATATCCCAACTGCGTAGATTGATGCTCATTGTGTCAATCTCAGGATTGTCTAGCCCTAATCGATAGTGCCCTTTGGACTTGCATTGGATATGTACACCTGAAACATAAATTGATACTTTTAAAAGACTATATCGTCATCATGGTCAGGAATGATAGTTGTAGTAGCAGGTGCTTCCTGAAGTGCTCTCTAGGCTTAAAGTGTATACTGATACTGTTTGCAGTTCCTGGACCGGGGAGTTGCGATGATCAAGTCTGTGCTGGAAGGCAGTGTCCGCCTGAACAAACTAAGTCCAAAGGCTATGCAGAAGTCCATGTCCCTGCTGAAACCCACTGTCAGCATGGATGACCTCCGTGATGTCGACTTGGTAAGGTTCTTCGTCAATGCTATACCTATCACGCATCTGGTCCCTTGGGATTCCAGGTTACAACCAGTTCACCGCAAGCTGTTCTTGTCATGAGATGGGACTAAAGGCTTGTTGATTGGGTTGATTCCTGACAGTGTGTGATGTTCATATCAATCACTGGATTGTCTGGCCTTAAAAGGCCACTGATCTAGAATGATTAATGTTTCTTGCCAACTGTCTAATTACGAAACCAAGCTGCAGGCTGGTCGGTACCTACTCACTCGACTGGGCTACTGTCCACCTTAGCAGAATTTCTTCAACCTAAACAGTGGGACATTAGGAAGGGTAGAAAATATCCCCGGTAGTTCTTGTCTGACTGTAATAAAGAATCCCAGCAGTGTAAACACTTTCAGATTTTCTAATGCCTGGATGGTATTATGACTGATCTAATTTGATCCTAATTCTGTGTTTTTTACCTCGATATTCAATCATGTCATGTAAAAATATGATGTTTAATACCTTTGCTCTGATATTAAAAACACACATTTGATGTATTTGAATCCGTAAACTAAACAACCCCACTTTGCCATTGCTAGAAAATTCTGAAAATTTACTTAGGTAAATAGTTATATACAGCAAATGCGTATATGTATTTCTTACGCAACAATGCAGTTCCGTTCGTATCCTCAAAACAGTGTCGGCCTATAAGTTTTTGTCAGGCAATCAAAATTGCATGCAATTCAGCGATTACTTCTCCCTTTCTGTAACCCTTGTTTGGTGGTAAATCTACACGTTATTTATCATCATTCACTTGATTGTCAGTTAATCAATTTATAACAGTTATAATTAGTGGTAACACCACTCAGATTACCCTAAAAAGGTTCCCTTTTGGCATTTCTCGTTTCTGGAGTAAATACTCAACATTATAAATTAAGGTCTGATGTGGTAAATGTATTACATGTTATGTAATATGCATGGAAGTGCAGCAAGGGATTATCAGCTGAGTTACAAAAACAAACATCGATCAAAGGATTAACCGATAACACGCTGATTGATTAATTGCTATTATCTTACACAGTGGATTTGTCAAAAGGTAGTGTTTATGTATGTAGATTTACTAATCTATACTGAATACACCCTGTCGTAAAGGTGCCTGTGTAAAAACAACGTGCTCCCTTCAAAGGATTAGCCGCCAATACATTGATTGATTGATTGCTCATTATTGGCTAACTAAATTACTTTGTTAAAGAATGGCGGACATCATGCAATTAGTTGCCAGGTTTGCTATCTTGTGTGACCAATCAGACTCTACACCAATGTGAAAAAACCTGAAATGATATATCACTTTTTCACATATTAAACTGTTACAAGACACATGACATGGAGCAGGATTCTTTGTTAGCTGAAGGTGAATGGCATGTCGTTCCTTTATGTGGATATTGATGGATACATTCCTCGAACAAGGTAGGATAGCCTGACAATGTTGCTGTAACTTTTGTCTGTTTTAAGTTTAATATTTGCATTTTGTTTTTATTCATTTGTTGTAGCATTATACAGAATCATTTTTTTCGCCGTGAAGTGTAATGAGACAGACAACATACACTAGGTCGCACTTGGGGCGTGTGTGAAATAATACATAATCGACGTTGGCAATCTATAAAATGTCTAGATATTACAGTCGTGTTATAAATTCACAATAAGTATAAGCAGATCGTGTGCATTTTATTAGGTTTCAAAATGCATACAAATATGATAATAAACTAATTAGGATTATAAGACTAAATGTAAAGACATACGTTGACTTCGTTATTTTTCAGTCCTAACATTTTTCACCACTGGCAGATAGTTAAACTTCAAAATGTTTTCATTTGTTATCAAATTAATGAAGATGGAAATATTATGGAGTAAAAAAGATTTCTTCTTGGTTGATCAATCTATACTTATACTATCAGTTGCGCATGCGGGTAGAGCAGCAGAGGTCACGAACCAGTCAAGAATTATGGGATATCATCTGGGTACTCACGGGAGAAAAACAATAACAAAAGCAACAACCAGTCCACGGAAAATGCTCTGGATCAGTGGCCCTGTAACATTGTTATTTACAAGCCTCCAAGATAGGGCTGGAATAGTACTGATTTCTGTGTTACACAATAAGCTTTACCTGTCTGTCTATCAATTTGTTCTTCCATCCTTCCATGTTTTTCCTGCAGGTGATTGAGGCAGTCTTTGAGAATCTCGACCTGAAGAAGCAGATATTTGGGAAACTAGACAAGATTTGTAAAGCTGAGACAATTCTTTGCAGCAACACGTCTTCACTGGACATCGACAAGGTGAGTTGTGAAGTTTTGAGCTGTATCTGTGTGTGTGGACATATAGGTACCTGTATTTTACACGTGTGTGAATGTGTAGGTCAATTTGTCTTACATGTGTGTGTGTGTTTGTCTGTTTGTGTACAAGGAATGGGGAGGTTGTGTCTAGGTCAGTTTGTCTTGTGTATGTGTGTGCATGCGTGTGTTTGTGTGTGTTTGTGTGTGATGGTGGTGTGTTTGTGTGTGTGGATATGTGTGGTTTGTGTGTGTGTGTGTTGGGGGGTGTTCAGGGAAGTTCTGTGTGTGTGAGTGAGTAGGGGTGTATGTACCAAAGTGAATGTGCAGATTTGTGTATGAGTGTGAATGTAACTGTGTCTTTCAGGTGTGGGTGAGTGTATGTATGTGTTGGTACCTGTGTCTGTGTGTTGGTACCTGTGTCTTTTGTGTCTGTGTGTTGGTACCTGTGTGTGTTGGTACCTGTCTCTGTTGTGCCTGTGTGTTGGTACTGTGTCTTGTGTGTGTTGTGTGTTGGTACCTGTCTCTTGTGTGTCTGTGTGTTGGTTACCTGTGTCTGTGTGTACCTGTGTCTTTTGTGTCTGTGTGTTGGTACCTGTGTCTGTGTGTTGGTACCTGTGTGTGTGCCTGTGTGTTGGTACCTGTGTCTTTGTGTTGCCTGTGTCTGTGTTGGTTGGTACCTGTGTCTGTGTGTTGTTGTTACCTGTGTCTGTGTGTTGGTACCTGTGTCTGTGTTGTACCTGTGTCTTTTGTGCCTGTGTGTTGGTTACCTGTGTCTGTGTGTGTGTGTGTGTCTGTGTGGTACCTGTGTCTTTTGTGTCTGTGTGTTGGTACCTGTGTCCTGTGTGTGGTACCTGTGTCTTTGTGTCTGTGTGTTGGTACCTGTGCCTGTGTGTTGGTACCTGTGTCTTTGTGTTCCCTGTGTGTTGGTACCTGTGGCTTTCATGTCTGGTGTTCTAGTGTCTGTGTACCTGTGTCTTGTGTTGGTACCTGGTGTTGTGTGTGTGTAGAGGTACCTTTGTCTGTGTGTTGGAACCTGTGTCTGTGTGTTGGTACCTGTGTCTGTGTGTTGGTACCTGTGTCTGTGTGTTGGTACCTGTGTCTGTGTGTTGGTACCTGTGTCTATGTGTTGGTACCTGTGTCTGTGTGTTGGTACCTGTGTCTGTGTGTTGGTACCTGTGTCTATGTGTTGGTACCTATGTCTTTTGTGTCTGTGTTGGTACCTGTTACCTGTGTGTCTGTGTTGGTACCTGTGTCTCTTGTGTCTGTTTTGGTACCTGTGTCTTTTGTGTCTGTGTTGGTACCTGTGGCTTTCATGGGTGTGTCTAGATACCTGTGTCTTACAGGTGAGTGAGTGTAGAGGTACCTGTGTCTTGAGCTTGTGTGTAGTACCTGTGTCTTCTGTCTTTAGCAAGTGTGAGTGGATGTGTTATCTGACATATAGGCTATGGCTTGTTCCAGGAACTGCCAGCTTTGTATCAGATTCCTTAAAGTGGTACTGTGGGGAATCAAGTGTATTGTTTGCCACATCACAAATCCAGTGTGTATGGTTTGACATTGTCTGTCAGATTGCGTCTGCAACAGAGCGCCCAGGCAGGGTGGCAGGGATGCACTTCTTCGTGCCGGCCTACGTGATGAGACTTCTGGAGAATGTGTATGGAAAAGCAACATCGGGGACAACAGTTGCCACCATCATGCAGTTGGGGAAGAAGCTGGGACAGGTATGTTAATAGTTAGGTAAGACTTTCTTAAAAATTTGCCAAATGGAAATGTAAAAAAAAAAAATTTAAACCATTGGCATTGTTTTTGTCATTCTGTGGACCAGACATAAATAAACCTTTAAAAAGAGTTTACTGTGGCTATCAATATAAATGAATTGTTTAAAATACAATAATTACCTTTTGAAAAATGGTTTAATAACGCCTCTCATAGATGAATGTTAACCTCAGAGCTGGGCTCCTTTCTACAAAGCTGAGGTTATTGATTTTCCTGTACATTAACACAGACCTATGATCGTCATAGCACTGTGATTACTTTTAGAACATAGGCCCAGGTCCAGACGAATACTGGTTAGATACTGATTGTTACAAAACTGATTATATATGTTTGGTGACTGAAGTTATGCTGTTGCTGTCTGTCAGGTGTCCGTATTGGTAGGCACCTGCAACTCTTTTGTGGCCAACAGAACCATGTCAAAGTACGGCTCACAGGTGAGAGATGCACACCTAGCTAGTTATGTTGTCTTTTTGAACTTGTCCCCCATGGAGATAACAACTGCCCGTCTAAGCTGCTTGTGAGAGGGACCAAATGGTTGGTTGGTTGGTTGGCTGGTTGGATGGTTGGTTGGTTGGTTGGTTGGTTGGTTGGATGGTTGGTTGGTTGGTTGGTTGGTTGGTTGGTTGGTTGGTTGGTTGGTTAACGCTACAGTTATATGGCGGCAGTCTGTAAATAATCGAGCCTGGACCAGACAACCCAGTGATCAACAGCATGAGCATCGATCTATGCACTTAGTATACGGTGACATGTCAACGAGCCTGACCACCTGATCCCTTTAGTCGCCTCTTTCGACAAGCATGGGTTACTGAAGATCAATTCTAAGACGGATCTTCACTAGTCAGGACCAAGTAGATCAGAAGGGTCTAGCTTGGTGACTTAGGTGATGGCATGTCATTTTACCCCAAGGGTGTAGATTTGTTTCAAACTTTGGAATGCCTAAAGAAAACTCACTGTACCATGTGTGAATGATACAGTGTTTCCGTTATCCAGTGTGTACCGGACTTTTACCGGTACAAAGTTAGAATGTCCGGTAATTTCAAAGGCTGTCGGTCATCGTGTCTGGCAAATTTTATAATCAATTTTCTAATTACCTCTGTCAATTATATTTCTCCTCGAAAAAGATTGCGTTTTCACAATGACATCGAGGTGTTGTCAAACATAAAAGAGCAGTTTTGGAAAAACCCAGGCTAAAAATAGTAGCATTGATGCTATACCCTCTACATTTCTGATTGGTTGTTAGGGTGCAAGGTCTCGTGCACAATGAAAAGCATTGATCACTTGACCAGTAAAATTTACAAATGACTGGTATTTGATATGCTAGCCAGGCACAATGTCCAGCTGTAAAAAATGACAGAAGAAACTGACTGACTGACTGAGTTTGGTTTTACGCCGCTTTTAGCAATATTCCAGCAATATCACGGCAGGGGACACCAGAAATGGGCTTCACTTATTGTACCCATGTGGGGATTCGAACCCGGGTCTTCGGCGTGACGAGCCAATGCTTTAACCACTAGACTACCCCACCGCCCGACAGAAGAAACATTGTGATAACATTTTCATGATAGTAAATACTCCAGGGCTTAAAGGTCACATGCAACCAAAAATCAAACATAATTAAAACACAATTATCACTTATTCATGACATATATTATACATTGCTGATTATGAAAAGACATATAAACAAAATTATATGCATACAATATCAAATCAAAAATGCAATATTTTGTACTTGGGTTTACTTCCCTCGAAACGAAGCACCCGGGATACCGAACCCAGTCAGAGTGGGTGGGTGTGCACTCAAGTGTAATGAAGTCTTTCATTGGCTGGTTTATTTGCCGATGCCCTCACTGGCTCATTGTGTGTGTGTATACAGAGATGTTGGGTTTTGTAAATACATGCTCATTTTTGTGTATAGCATTTTGCAATCAACAGACGTCATAACATGTCAAATTACATAATGTGACAGAGACCGAACTAGGGTGCACGAGCCATAGATCAATGTGTTTTGTTTATGGTGTATAGCCTGATAGGTGTTAAGTTCAAATTGCTGGTGGTCAGTGATTGAAGTTGTGTATTGCATATTGTCATTAGCAGACAGGCAGACACATAGGTGTCAATAAAACAGGCACTGAGTTTTGTCTGTGACAAAGACATATCTACTGGTATATCACAGTTAGAAATTCTGTCAATGCTAAATAATGACATTGCTTTTAAGTATCGAACTGAGAAAGTGACTCGGTAAGAAGAACGTGTGGTGAAACAGACAAATGAAATTATATGCGCAGTTAAATCGGTAATCTACTGTCATAACATATAAAAAGCTCGTGCCTGTGATATATCAACAAAACATTAGAAAAATAGCTCACATCAAAGCCTTCACTGAGTACTCACCGCCAGCGAAGGTTTTCCGTCTTGAAATGTCGAATGCCTCACTGGTTGACACATAGCTGAGTAGATCTAGATCCTAACAAGGTTCATTTATGTAACAAGTAGATTATTTACTATTTGTTTTGATTAGACTACTCCTGCTCACGACCTTATAATCCGGACATCCCGCTTCCAAGCTGCGCGAACCTATTCACTGCGCATGCTCTATGAGTGCAGCACAGCTGTTGAAACCACTTTTCACCCCAAGCTGGGGTGAATTTAGTGAATCATTTGAACTCTGATTTCGTGGGGTCTTTTCATCGCATTATTTTTCAACTTTATAAGTTGAATTTGCATTTTTGATGATTTGTATCTGTAAGTCCATACTGAAAGGTATCAGAATCTGCAGAGTTGTGTTTTATGCTGCATTTGACCTTTAAAAAGTTTTCTGGAACCCTGTATTTTTCTAAAACATCAGAGGTTAATTTGTCCTGTGATTTCACTTGTGACACAAAGTCATACAGAAGAAATTATTATACAAAACCTGAAAAGATAACACGTTTTAGTATTATTTTAAAAGAAATATTGTTTATGATGAATCATGGCCCTGTTTAGACGATGATGTGTTGTAGTTTTCCCTTTACTGCATTTGAATTTATTGGTCAGTAATCAAAGTGTATTATTTCATGTTGCTAGGCAACGTTTCTGGTAGAGGAAGGAAGCCTGCCACAGGAAGTTGACCAGGTCCTCACAGACTTTGGTATGCCCATGGGGACGTTTGCTGTCGGAGACCTCTCAGGTGATCAAATCTTTGAAGGGTATTTAGAAGTGGAATACATAAGAAAAGCAAGATTTATGGATGTCACCTTCTTTATATATATATATCTCCCCCTTATACTCCCTACCATTCACCTGATGAAGGAGCAAGCATACACCCCGAAATGTCGTGTTATTCACAATAAAGAAGTTGACATCCATAAATCTTGCTTTTCTTTTGCTCTCAGGTGATGGCTGAATCAGTACAATCTTTATTACCTGTTTCAGTCTATTTTAATCTGATTTGAGACCTCTGTCCGATTAAACCCTCCATTGGAAATGAAGTCTGATGAACAATGAGAGAAACTGAGAAATCTAAATGTGAGGTGAAATGTGTTTTTGTGTTGTAAAGTTAATTCTGTCTGTGTGTCTGTTCTTGGGCCTGTGTGTATGCTTGTTCAAGTCCAAACTAATGTCAGTTTTATATGCTCTCCCTCTGGGATACCTATTGTAGTTCCACACACATACCCCACTCAGACACAGTAAACAAACTCTGATCCATCCAGTCTCACCCATGAAGATCCCGGTTACATCTGATCTTCAGTAACTCATGCTTGTCGTAAGAGGCAACTAACGAGATCGGGTGGTCAGGCTCGCTGACTGGGTTGACACATGTCATCGTATCCCAGTTGCGTAGATCGATGCTCATGCTGTTGATCCCTGGATTGTCAGGTCCAGACTCGATTATTTAGAGACCGCTGCCATATAGCTGGAATATTGCTGAGTGTGGCGTAAAACAAAACTCACTCACTCCCATCCAGTCTGTATACTACCAAGCACCAGGCAGGGTAAAATAAGTATCACCTTTTAACATCTTTTAGTATGATGTGGTCATGGGTTGAAGCACCAACCTTCTTCTCTCTTGGCAGACACTCCATTAGACCACCAATTAGAATGGCGTATGTGAGTGTTTGAGCCAATCAACTGTCAGCTTTCTTATTTTGAGAATTTCTTATTTATTGATATGGTCTTAAGCAGGTTTTACTCCTTGTTTACATTTGTCATATGGTAGTGTTATCGGGTGAAAATATCCTTTTTATTTGAGCATTTGGCAAACAGGGCAAATGAGGGTGTGACTGATTTTGCAGGTTTATGCTTACACTTTGTGCATCTTTCTTTAGGCCTGGACATAGGTTGGAACATCCGGACAGAAATAGCTAAGGCGCAGGGCATGAACCTGACCTTTGCTACCCGATACATGGGCGGTGACCAGTACAGCTCTCTGTCAGACCGACTGGTCCAGAAAGGTCGTATTGGACGCAAAGTGGGCAAGTACAGGCTTTCGTTCTATGTGTGTTCAGTCAGTTACACTTATGTGGTACCAGTGAAGGTCCGGGTTAGAATGAATCTTCAGTAACCCATGCTTGTCGTAAGAGGTGACTAACGGGATCAGTTGGTCAAGCTCGCTAGTTTGGTTGACATAAGTTGAGTGAGTGAGTGAGTGAGTTTAGTTTTACGCCGTTCTCAGCAATATGGCAGCGGCCTGTAAATAATCGACAATCCAGTGATCAACATCATGAGCATCGTTCTGCGGAATTGGGAATCGATGACATGTGTCAACCAAGTCAGCAAGCCTGACCACCCGATCCCGTTAGTCGCCTCTAACAACAAGCATGCGTTACTGAAGATCAATATTCTAACCCGGATCTTCACGGGTTGATATCAGACAGGGACTATGAACAAATCAGTCAAATTAATTGAGATAATAATGTATATTGAAATTTGGACCCTGTTGGAAAGAATTAGTGGCAGAGACTTTCTGTATCATTTGAGTTGATTTTCCAGGGAAAGGTTGGTACAAGTACGACAAACCTAATGGCAAGGTCGCCACCCCTGACCCAGAGGTCACTCAGATAGTACTGGATCACTGCAAGGAGCTTGGCATACAGCGACACAAAATTTCACCTCAGGTTAGGATTGCTTCTTTAAAGGCACTATTTCACACCGCACTTCTCTAAAAATAAATAATGCTTTTCTCTCAATAATACTATCAGCCCTCAGGGAAGCTACAATATTAAATGAGAAAGTTCGAATGAATTAATGCAACTTTGCATTAAGTCGATTCTTGCAACCTTTACCGGCCAAACATTATTTAAAGCGAACCACATAGAGTTATGTCCCTTGGAGCGCTCTTTATGAATATCCTCCCCACAACTTGTGATTGAAACCAGTTCGACAAACACAGACCACAATGCGTGCGACAGTTTTCGATGTATGGAGCAATTGTTTACATTCCATATATGGTTCTGTTTGGAAGCTGTTAGTCTCGAAGTTTCCATTATCGATTTCAGGCAAGTCTTATGTGATAGCAAGTCTTTTATTGCATCAATCGGAAGCTAAAGTGAGTGCATATGCCCCAATATATATATAATATGGGCCAAAATATTGTCAAAAATGTGTGACATTGCTTCTTTAAACTCCTCTGCTGCATGTTTGCTCGTGTGTTTGAGTCTTATCCTTAAGTCTATAAGCTTAGAAACAGTCGCCCAGTCATGAAACAAGAATCGGTGTAACCGTTCAGGGAATATTCAGTGCACTGCCATACTACATATGATAGCATGTGTTACCTTTGTTCTGCAGGAGGTGGTTGAGAGGACAATGTATGCAGCAGTGAACGAAGGCTTCCGTTGTCTGGAGGATGGAGTGGCAGCTAAACCTGAGGACATTGACGTCTGCTGGTGAGTGTTGCTTGACTGTTGTCCATTGCTCCAGTCGTAGTCCCCTGTCATACTATTGATATTGTCATCAAAGAAGATGGAGATAGTTGTGATTTGACTGTTGTCCATTGCTCCAGTCGTAGTCCCGTCTCATACTATTGATATTGTCATCAAAGAAGATGAGATAGTTGTGATTTGACTGTTGTCCATTACGCTCTCATACTACCATGATGATAATTAAATTGTCATCAAAGAATTTTCAGTTGGAGGTAGTTGTGATTTATAACTTCTATTTGACTAAATCAAAATAAAATGTTTCTCCAAATCGTGGTAGAAAACTGATGAAGTAAATAGAATGTGACATGGTGATGGTACATGGTTGTCCTGCTTGGACCATAATATGATGATTCTGTTTTCAGGCTTCTCGGTTTCGGATTTCCACGGTACCAGGGTGGACCAATGTTTTATGCCAGTCAAGTTGGTCTGCGAAATGTGTACGACAAAATATGCCAATTTCATGAGCGCTTCCGTAAGTTAGAATGGATTTACTTGACAAACCCATTGCAAATTATCGCCATCTGATTAATAAGTATTTGCATAGAAACGTTGAACATAACATTACGGAAATGGTGTGTGATCTTTAGTCCCAAATATATTCTTTATCATTGGTGCAATGTAAAGTTTTAAACAGTGATCCAGCAAGGGGTCAAACTGCCGAAGGCTAGTAGATTTGATGGTGATGGGGGTGGGTGGGGTGGGGGGGTGGCAAGCTGTCTAAGGCACCAGGTTAGTGATATCCAGTGAGCTTGAGGTGTCGGGATCAAGCCTGTGACTGGGTGGAAAAGCCTTGGAGACAACTCTTTCAGTGTTGTCACAACCCCTAGTGTACAGTACACAACCCTGTGCACTTAAAAGAACCCACGAATACGTTGGTATATGACCAGATGGAAGCCACATGAATATGTGAAAACACCTTGTTGTGGGTACAGCAACGTGCAGTAAACTTGGACAAAGTACTATGACTGTGTCCCAGTCCACCCAGCTGTGAATGGGTACCTCTTAAGGATGGGAAAGCCACAATAACTTGGTGTGCCTAGTGGCTGCAAGAGTTGTATAATCCCTAGGGAGTTGAGATTGATAATACGATGTGCCTTTGAGATTGACATCCAACGATCGAGGGAAAAAGATACCGGCGCCTTGAGCATGTACTAGTTGCGTGGATATGTGCGCTATATAAATCCTCCATGGTGTAGTGGTTAAGAGCGTCCGCCCGTGGAGAGGAAGGTTCGATCCCCGGCCGCATCATACCAAAAGATGTTAAAATATGGTACTTGGTGGTCCCTGCCTGGTGCTCGGCATTAATGGGTCCAATAAGACTGGTTGGCTCTGAGTCAGTATAATGTGTCTGAGTGGGGTATTCATGCTTAACTGCAGCATGGTATCTCAGCAGTGAGCTAGCACTAGAAAAAACAGCTTAAGTTCTGGGCTAGTACAAGCAGCCACAAAAACATGCATGCTTGTCGTCATATGAGCGAAATATTCCTAAATGAGCCCATAAATCCTTTTTCACCTCACCTATCTTAATCTATTTTTAGACCCATGTGGTTCTTTAAACAAGATACTGATATTTTAGAAAATACTTGTATTCTATCTGTATGAGCCTGCATGATACTACACCTTGCCCTCATGTGAAAGATACCCGTGAAGATCCGGTTTAGAATTGGTCTTTGGCAACCATGCTTGTTGTAAGAGGCGACTAACTGGATAGGATGGTCAGGCTCGCTGACTTGGTTGACTCATGTCATCTTATCCCAATTGTGTAGATTGATGCTCATGTTGTTGATCACTGGATTGTCTGGTCAAGACTCACATATGTACAGTCCACCTCTATATATAGCTGAGTCCAGTGTTAAACAACATACAAACAAACTATGTGAAAGGATAATTACTTCTCCAGTCATATCTCTTGACATCTTTGCAGCCAACCAGAGTATCTGGATGCCCAGCTGAACTACTTCGTCGACTAAGCAGGTCCGAGGTCACCCCACCGATGAGCAAATGGACCATGCAGACTGCTAGTAAACTGTGATCAGCAAGACCAGCCAACCAGTGAACACTGTGCCTTATATTACCACGATAATCAGACACTGTTTTCAAAGATTTTTGTGCATTGCTTATGTGACATTCTGTGGATTTATCTGGTCCAATGTTGAAACCAAAGGTATTTCAAAGCCTTAATTTTACTGATACCAGGATCATGGACACAGTGGTTTTGGAACTTCATTTTGGCTCCATTCAATTATAGCATTGAATCCAGTGCTGACGTACATCTGAAGTTATGAATATGGATTTTTAAGATTTCGTACTTAATGTTTTCCAATTAACCAGCTTTTAGTTCAGTCTTTTGGAATCTGAAGACAACGGTTGAAAACCTATTTTGTTGTTTGTTTAATGGCCTGAAACATGTGGCCAACAATCGACTTTTCTGGTTTTCATCTCATCAGTTCGCAATCATTCATCTTCAGCCAGTAATCAGCGTTTATAGACATAATATATACCCGAGAACTTATTCCAATACTACCTGCTGAATCAAAGACACAAAGTAATACACGCTTCATTAACCAAGAACTGTATGACTGCCATTAGATGTTCGTATAATAATCTTTGTGATATTTCATATATTGACAGAGTGAAATCAGAAGTTATATCTATCTATTCTTATAAGGCTGTGATCTATTTTTCGATTTTCATCCACAAGTTCATACAATCAATGCATTTGAGTAAGAATGCAATATGTTGTTTGATTTTCATCCATATTTTATGAAGAAAGTCAAACAAGAGGAAGATATATTTCTTTGTATTTTGTATTCTTTTTCAGCTTTTCAAGTTATTTGTCAAGGCATTTGTATTCAGATCAGACTGATGTGAAGTGTGAATGTTTTGACAAGGATATGATGTATTTCATCAAGCGAAGAATGAAAGGAAAAGTAATTACATGGGGTCAACAGATTCATGTGAAGTGGTGTTTGGTAGTGAGGGAGGGCGTAAATGTACCGGTACCCAGGAATTCATTATTGTGGCCAGACTATATTGTTTTCATGATGCATAAAGCAAGCAATGGTCAGTTTAATCATATTTTACAATTGTTAAGTTTACATTTTGCTTGTGAACTACTGAATGATTTGTTTAACAATTATTGAATAAATTTTCATGTGATCATAATTTACTTATTATGTGATTTTTTTAAATACATTAATTGCTGTGCAAGGCATCATGATAGTGTTTTTGTATTGGGTGTATTTCCTGAGTCTGACCACCATGGAAACGATTAAGTTGGGTTTAATGTTGCTGTAGACAGAATTATCATTTAATTCTAGGGTGATAGACTGATGTTAGCAGAAAGCCCCAAATTAAAAAATGTTTGCGATGTTGGTAGGACCCTCAATCTCATGTATGATGCCGACTCTGAAAGATCAAAATCGGGGGACTGATGGGGTTTGAGCCTATGTCTGAGTCCCTGGGGACTAAGGACACAACTCGGGGAAACTTGTCACCTGCGTCTTTCATCCTGTACACATGAATGGACTCAGTAACTATGGTTACTTTGTCAGCACAACAGAAATATAGGGAATCGCTATGCCATATTGTTATGCTATTCATAGTATTTTGTTATACATAATTCAAGTTGTACATCTTTACAGTTAAAGAGTGAGTGAGTGAGTTTAGTTCTACGCCACTTTTAGCAATTTCACGGCAGGGGACACCAGAAATGGGCTTCACACATTGTACCCAGGCTGGGAATAGAACCCGGGTTTTCGGCGTGACGAAGCAAACGCTTTAACCACTAGGCTATCCCACGTCCCCCATTATAGAACCGAATGAAAGAGTCAAAGATTGTGTTTTTGCCATATTATGGATAAAAAACAACAAAAGAGATCTTGCAGTCTTATTTATATTTACTGAAAATGTTTGTGAGATATTGTACATACAATTTAGAAATTTGTATTTTCATGATAGAATACAGAACACTGTACATGAATAGCATCTTTGTACAAAATACATTGAGTTGATGAACATTTCAAACATAATGAACTTCATAGGTGATATGACTTAATTGTGATGAAAGTGATTTCAAGAAGACATTAAAGAATGTCTTCTTTACAGATTTCATATTTACAGCATTTTGGTCAACATTTCATGGAGAAAGCAATGGCTGGACAAACAGCACCAATATTACTAGATTCTAATCTCTCAAAATGACACTTCATCTCAGAGGAATATGCACATTGTGGAGGAAAAATGAAGAAATGCAGTTTGCAGATAATTTCATCAATGCTGCAACTCATAAGCAGAAATATGAGCAAGTTGGTTTGGTTTAGAGCCGCTTTCAATCGTATTTCAGTTATGACAGCATGTCGGCTTAATGTGGAAGGGAAGCCCGAAGAGATGCTGGACATTTACCACTTCAGAGAAATCCATTAACATGGGTCTGGTGCCGACAAACCGAGAAACAGTTGGGCGAAATAGGATTCAAACTCAGGATCAATCTTGTGTCGAGCATGGATATGAAGCTGACTGTGAAGCATCAAAACAGGAAGAATCTAGGATTTGAACTCAGGGCCTATGTCCACCCTAGTCATTTCATTGGAAAACACGTCACATGGGGCTTTGGAAAATTAGCGACTCGTGGATGCAGACATACAGGCAATACATACAAATTCAAACAACTCCTACAGTAACTCAAGTTGATTACATGCAGAATACATATCATGTTGGCAGAGTCCTGTCTGACGTTCAGTCTCGCCCTGTGATGAAGGCAACTGAATGACAAACCAAGGCAAAGCCAACATTCATTAAACTTGAGAAAAAGCACATGACAACCAGCATAAGTTGATGCACCATCTTAAGCCTGTTGTCCCTCATATCTGATAACTATCTGTTCATGCGTTGAATCAGCCTGAAGTGGTGTGAAGGACCAATACTCCTTCACGTTGTGGGCCATGACAAGTGAAGTATCAATGGCTGACATGCTTCAAGTCCTATGCAATGATGCAAAATACTGACTCAGACACTTGTTTCAAGCACTTTTTGTCTAGCTTCTTGAAGACATGGCCATCTCTTGGAGAATGTTTATGGTTTACAATAATTTGATGTTCCACCTTTAGTCCAAACAGTTTTTCCATTGAGTTGATGAATCCGTACCTTGATGGTCAAGTTAGATTTTGTCATCACCTCAAACAATGCAAAGACTACGGATGGTAGAGGCACTTACAAACTGTCGCCATTCTATTACAACAGCTATAGTGACAATGGAGTGGTACAGCAACAGTTGGTTAATGATTTTGGTGAGCTCTCCAAAGCGTATTTCAGTCACTGACGAAAAGACACTGATGAGGTTGTGATCCCACAGATAATGCCTGCCTCATTGGCTTCAATGGTTCTGGAAATGGTGAGGGCTCATATAGGATGAATATATGGACCTTCTAAATCTAGCAGCCTTTAGCATAAGGGTATTGACAAGGACCCCCGGACTTTCAGTTGTAAATTCAATCACTACATCCATCTTGTCAGTGCAGTGGTTGTGGATGTCAGCGTGTGACGTTGCGAGTCTCTACAGCCATGGGTGCCAGTGGTTGTGGATGTCAGCGTGTGACGTTGCGAGTCTCTACAGCCATGGGTGCCAGGCTGGGTCCATGCGGCAGAGATTGTCATGGCTGTTGGCGGCAGCGACCAATGTGCTCACGCGACTCTCAGCGCCATCAAAAGTGGCCAGGTCTGGAAAACAAGAAGACATATGTGAGAAAGAGTACATAGTATGTCAGGGACTGACGTATACAGGGGTGGAAATAACCTAATGCCCGACGCCCCAATCCAGTGTTTTTTTCTGTCGGGCAAGCAAATTTGCATATCACACTGTACTGGAGTCCAGTTGATATTCCAATGTTAATTATGTTGTTTATTTAAAAAATCAACAAAAATATCGGCCAGTATAGTGGAAAAATTATCAGGGCAAGTGATTTTACTTGTGCCACTGTACCGGAGTACACTAGCAATTTTAAAGTTATTTCCACCCCTGGTATAGACTGAAACCCTGCAAATGTGGAAATACCATCTGGTTAAACAATCTTGCAGTCTGATTGGCTAGTCGTATGTTTTTCATCAGACAATCTCACTAAGCAACCTTTTTCACCTTAACAGAAGCAGACATTCTTTAATGCAATGAGGTAAACCAAAGCATTCAATACATACTCTGTAAACGTGTCATGATGGCGCTGACAGCTTTGGTTACCATGCCGATCAGCTGTTCCCCTTCCATGTCCACAGGTTCAGTACTAGGGCTGGTCTCCTCATGCTTCTGTAACAAATGGCAGAAATTGGATATTTGTAGTCATATTTTCATGATGATGATTGAAAGTTTCAACACATACTATCTTTACCTTGACAATGGATTATTCAGGCCATAACATCAATATGACCAACCATTTATTGTATGGCTGCAGTGGTTTAGGGGTAATCAAGGGAGTATCAACATATAACAGTCTCAAGGGGAGGATCACAAAAAATGCTAACAAGGGAAGGATCGCAAAAAATATGACATGCATTAGGGAGGGTTAGTTATTTCTCAGTACAGAGTGCATGAAACACTGTGAATCTGTAATAAATGACTGGTCCCTTTGATGGATGGATACAACATCCAGGAAACACACTTATGTTCTACTCTGTGATTAGTAACATTAATAGTCATTTGTATTCTGGTAAACAATTATTTTATCTCAAATTAGGCATTTAACGTGAACTCTGATTTCCACAGATCCTCTACCTTCTTATGCCATGTGATGTATTCATCGCGAAGTATGGCTCGGAGAAAGCTCTGCAGTTTAAACTGAGGCTGCACGAAGCATCTTGCTGCCGCAACCATCGACGCAGTCAGCGGGCCTGTCACTCCGGTCATGGTGAGGAACTCAGCTATATTGGGGGTCAGTCGGAATGGAACAGGTCGGTTTGCATCAAGGTCACCTGAAACAGCCATTGGAATAATAAGGTCACATGTTACAATTACTTACAATTATTCAAGAATCTACCAAGTTATCTGGGTTGTCCCAATCATATCAGAAGCCATAGAACATCACAAAGTTTGTTGTCACTTGCTTCCCGCTGTGACTTGCCAACTCATATTAATTCAAAATTGTTTATAGTGAGCACCAAAGAGATATAGATACCCTAGGCAGACATGACTTATGTTATCATCATCATCATTATGATGACCATAATAATCATCATCATGTATATCATCGCCATTGTCATTATCGTCGTCGCCACTATCATTCTCGCCACTATCATCGTCATATATCGTCATCCTGCTCTTCCGAGGTCATACCAAATAATTGTGCAAATAATTGAGTTTCAAACAAGGTATCAGACCTAGTCATGTGATGCCGATCCATCCTTATCCTCACTGTACATTCGACTGCTGTGAGTGAGTGAATGAGTTTAGTTTTACGCCGCTTTTAGCAATATTCCAGCTATATCACGGCAGGGGACACCAGAAATGGGCTTCACATATTGTACCCATATGGGGAATCAAACCCGGGTCTTCGGCATGATGAACGAATGCTTAACCACTACGCTACCCCACCGCCCCTCTACTGCTGTGACTGACATGGGACTCACCTGACTGATCATCAATGTCGAACTTGAAGTAGGAGATGTTGAGATAGCCACAGTCCTGGTGCAGGTACATCATGTCAGGGTTCATCCGAGACAGATGCAGGATAAACTCCGCAAACCCCATCAGGGCCAGCTGGATTGTCAACTGGGGACAGAAACACAGTTTGTACACAGCTGTCGGGTGGGTGGGAGGGTGAGTGTTGAGTTTGAATGAAGGAATAAGTGAGTGAGTGAATGTGCGTGTGTGTGAATGAGTGAGCGAGTGTGTTAAGGAGTGAGCAAGTGAATGAGTGTGAATGAAGAAATGAGTGAATGAAGGAATGAGTGTGAATGAAGGAATGAGTGTGAATGAAGAAATGAAGGAATGAAGGAATGAGTGTGTGAAGTGAATGAATGAATGAGTGAGTGTGTGTGAGTGAAGGAGTGAGTGAGTTTTGAACTTTAGTCCAGTTATATTAGATCAGGTCTTGCATGACTACCACTTTGGTGAAACTCAAAAGCATCTGTAACGGGCAGAAGAACCTTCAAACACAATTGGGATGACTTGGGATTCC